AATAATATGTAAATCGCCATTTATTTATTACAGATGATAGCAGTCTGTCTAATTTGGTTCTTAATTAAATCTATAAAATTCTTGATTGAGAATTTGGATCGACTTTATACTCACAATGTATTGTGCGTACTTAAATCCTTGACCATTTATATTATTTATAAGAATAAACTTGACTTATGACCATTCTGAAATACATGTATAAATCACAAGAAGGACTGCATCTATTCAAATGTACTTGCTAGCTATAGTACTTGCAAGAATAGATTCTTTTTTAACAAACAGTATTTTTTAGTACGACAACTTACATTTTGAAGCAAAAAAGTATGATCCGTAGGTTCTTTTTTTTTTTTTTAAAAATTACATCATTACGCAGTGAAACTTTTATTTACGATACAATTAGAAATTAATCAGTTTCTCATTACTCAATGAGCGTATGCGAGATTGATTTGGGTTTTCAATGTAACGATGATTATTTGTCAAGTGGTGCTATATTCGTTGTTTATTATTTATCTAAAAAAAAAAAAGAAGACTTTCCGAGACATTTTGTCACAGGGGATCGTAGAAAAATGCGATGTGTTAGTTTGCCGCTTCCCTATACATGCCCTTAGTTCAAATTTCAGCCGGTTTTTCTTCCTTCTGGGGGGATATGAGCTGAAATTCACCGACAATTAAACAGTTCCTCGAGAAATTTCCTTGATAAATTAAATCCTGTAAAACTAAGCATGCGTATGTTACCTGCTCCTGGATATGTTTGCTGTTTTTCCACAATTATGGTATACTCGCGAAATTTATTACAGCATGTGAGAAATTTACATGATATAGGCCTACTGAGCATTTTTTTTTTTGTGGATCTGCTAGAAAAAAAATTCACTCAGGTTTATTCTAAATTTAAATAGTCCCTATGACTCATATTTTTTTTTTTTTTTTTTTTGCTATGGAGAATTAAGAATTATACAGATATATCTAACATATATAACAAACAAAGAAAAATGATTTCTTTTAATCAGTCTGGGGAATATAGTCTTGATCCGCCTACCTGCTACATGTAACGTCACAATGGTGGAAGTGACGCCTCGGTGTATGTTTTTGTGTGTTTATGTCGACAGACGAACCAAGACTACAAAGTTTAGATATGTTTTTGTGTTATTCTTCTGTAGGGATTTTTTACGGGGGGTTCAATGAAAATTGTCGCAAATGTCGAAATGGAATCCTCTTTGTTGAATGACTCGAAACAACAAATAAAAGACGAAGGAAGTGTGGGATGTGTTTTTTCGTGATATTCACTAAAATATTGCATAAATAACTGACTAAAAGGTAAATTCAATCATTGATTCAACAAATTCATGCATTTTCAGAAAAAAAGGTCGTATATAACAACGAGAATAAGTCCAAGATTTTTCTCAAATCTCAGCTTACGTGAGATGATCGAATCTCAGAGATGTTGGTGGCATGATGTTTTAGGAAAATCTCAGCTGAGGCAGAAATCTAAGATTTGAGGTTGAGATTTGAGCTGAGATTTTATACGTTGGTGGCCCCGAAGCCAGATGTTCAAAAATCTTTATGAAAACTTTTACTTGTTTTGCCTCTGATATGCCCAGGTGCAGAGAAGATTTTCAAAGAAATAATGCATTTTTTACTACAGATTCACTATATTATCAATAGAGCCCCCCCCCCCCTCCCCACCTAGAAACACCAGAGCCTCTCACCCTGGGACCAGAAGTTTGCTCATCATACATGTAAGTAATCACTTTGTTTATCTGATTAACACTAAGGAGCAGACAGGATTATTTAACAGAATTAATGCATTTTCACTATATCATCAAGAGCCCCACCATTACACCAGCACATCTGACCCAGAGGTCATGCAATTCACTACTCTGGAAGAAGCAATCATGCTCATCATAACTATATGCTTAGCTTCTTTGCTTTTTAACCAGAAGCAGAAAAGAGTATTTTCAAAGAAATTTTGCTTTTTCACTATATAATCAATAGAGCCCCTCCCCCTTTTTCACCATAACCCTTGACCCTGGGGCTATGAAATTCACAATTTTGGAAGAGGCAATCTTGAATATCAAAACAATGTACTTAGTTTGTTTAAATAATACCCAGGGGCAGAGAAGAAGATTTTCAAAGAATTAATGCATTTTCACTATATAATCAATATAGCCCCGCCCTAACACCAGAACCCCTGACCCTGGGGCCATGAAATTCACAATTTTGGAAGAGGCCCTCTTCCTCATCATAACTATGTACTTAGTTACTTTATTTAATACCCAGGAGCAGAGAAGAAGATTTTCAAAGAATTAATGCATTTTCACTATATAATCAATAGAGCCCCGCCCTAACACCAGAACCCCTGACCCTGGAGCCATGAAATTCACAATTTTGGAAGAGGCCCTCTTCCTCATCATAACTATGTACTTAGTTACTTTATTTAATACCCAGGAGCAGAGAAGAAGATTTTCAAAGAATTAATGCATTTTCACTATATAATCAATAGAGCCCCGCCCTAACACCAGAACCCCTGACCCTGGGGCCATGAAATTCACAATTTTGGAAGAGGCAGTCTTGCTTTTCATAACTATGTACTTAGTTACTTTATTTAATACCCAGGAGCAGAGAATAAGATTTTCAAAGAAATAATGCACTTTCACTATATGATCTATATTGCCCCATCCTAGCACCAGAACCCCTGATCCTGGGGCCATGAATTTCAAAATTTTGGTAGAGGGCTCAATGCTTATTACAATGATGCGAACAGTTTGACTGCTTGATGTCCAGGAGTAAAGAAGAAGATTTTTAAAGATTGCATTATTTTTGGTGGTTTTAGCCCCGCCCCTCAGGCCCCAGGGGGACAGGGACCATGAAATTCACATGCAAGTCTAAACTCGACGTAATGAAGATTTAGATTTGCAAACAAGGTCATTACACTGACCATAAATTTCTCGACATGTAAAATTCTAATCAAGGCAGTAGAAAGCTCTGTATCATGGACTTAGTTGTCAGTAGGATGTCTTGGTTCAAAACAGTTACTACATAGAAGATACTCTTGCCGTTGCAAAATTAGTTGAAAGATGTAGACACCATCTGCAATTGATAATATAATGTGATTTTGTTTTCTTGCAGGACACGGCAATACTTTTATTCTTCTCATGTAGAAGTTTGCACATGAATTCTCCTTCATTAGAACATACAATAATAGGTCGGCAAATTAATGATCACAGTTTTTGGAAATGCGAATTATGTAAAACACATTGTTTGAAGGCTTTCATACCATCTGATGGTTTTGGGGTAAGAATCGTGATTTCTAATTTTCTTTAAATTTTCTACAGGTTTTTTAGAAACAAGATTTCATTAAAATCACTTCTTTAATATGGTAATTGTAGCACAGTGCTTCTTCACAGCATTTAGATATTTATCTCATGCACATTTAGAGCAATTTTTGAAATTTAAATATGGCATTCTTAAACATTTGTTACACCATTATACAATTACACAGGTATTTATATTTACTTCGAATTTTAACATGAAATTTGATTTGAGTAACATTTTTGTGGACATCCATGGGTTTTAACAGGTCTGGACGATTTTAATATTAATTGCCATAAATGCACAGAATAAACGACATGCTAAGGCAATCTTTAAAATAATGTTTGTTTGCCCTCTCCCTTCACCCAAAGATGCTATATACCAAATTTGGTTGAAATTGGTTGAGCGGTTTCAGAGAAGAAGCTAAAAATGTTCAAATGTTAATGTACGTCGCACGACGACGGACGAAAACGGATAGCAATAGGTCACCTGAGTTATTCAGGTGACCTAAAAATATGAAGAAATTCCTCGAACTTTTGGATCAACCCTCGTACATGTCAGTCAATAAATTTATATAATATACAGTATGCATAAGGAAGACCAAATGTATTATTACTGCATTAAGGAGACCAACTACTATCCACATCTAAATCAGTATTCAACCTCTTTCACTAATAAATAAATAAAATATGAAGAAATTCAACAAACTTTTGGATCAACCCTCATACATGTCAGCCATTAAATTTATATAAAAATAAATATGCAGTATGCATAAGGAAGATCAAATGTATTATTACTGCATTAAGGAGACCAACTACTCTCCACATGTAAATCAGTATTCAAAACGAGAGATTTTAATACCCTAGTAATTTACATGTTTAGTTACATGAACTAAATCTATTTACCTTTGTCATCACGCAAGAACTGTTTTACATTCATCCAACTTTAACAACATTATACATGCATACAGTGTATGCCATACATTAGGAAGACCAGATGCATTATTACAACATTAAAGAGACCAACTACAATGGAACAATGAGACAGTATTCCAAAATGTTCATCCCAATACCATAGTAATTTCCCTTAATTTGTTTGTATTTAGATGACCTAAATCAATTTATCTCAGCCAGAATTGGAACAAAAAAGCTAGTCACACAAGTGGCCAAACACATGAACAGACAGATGGACATGATGATTCCTATGCTTATATACAACCATGCTTATATACACCCAAAGTTGCCAAAGTAGAGCAGATGCAGTGGTTAGAGCGTCTACTCTAGAGTCGCGGAGAAAGAAGCTGATCCTTACATAGCGAGTTTGAATCCCACTGTGGAATGTGGAGACCCGTTCTTCAGATGAGACAGACGTATTAACTGAGGTCCGTGTCACAGTAGGTGCTGGCTCGATAAAGATCCCTCAATGCTCAATGGCCGCAAGTGCTGAGTATAGGACAAAAATTTGCAGCTCTCCACCAGCAAGTGGTGGCGTCTCCATATGAGTGAAAAATTCTCAAGAGGGACGTTAAGCAACAAGCAATATACACCCAAAACTTTGTTTGCAGAAGATTTTGTGATACATGCTTTACAAGTATACATATTGTTCATAAGGGAATAAAAATGCTATAATATATCATTAAGGAAAGCAACTGAAATTAAATGTGCACTTCTAATTGAACTAAACAAAATTACCCTTTGTCAGAATGTAGATTTATAAACAGGAAGGCTGTTTTTCTTCATTTTTTCCATGTCAGATTCAGACTGTTCTTCAAAAAATTCTGGCATACACCCTGTAAAAGTGAACAGTGCAGATAATAAAGAGCTTCTAAATAAACTGCATAATATTTAAAAGATCCACTTAAAAGGGATAACAAATGCATATAACTGCATCAAGGAGACCAACTGATATCCATATATACATAAATCAGTACATGTATTTTAATTGTGATATTTTAATATCCTAGTAATTTACATGTTTAGTTTCATGAAATAAATCTATTTACCTTTGTCCAATGACCAATGAGCACAAGCACTGATTTTTCCTCTTTTTTCTTAACGGAATCACCAGGGCCAGTCTGCGGTCCATTTGATTCTGGCATATGTACACTCTGTAAAATGCATATTTGTACCATGTACAGGCATATGAACAATATTTCTATACTACATACATGCATCATTAAACTTAATAATCTTTTTTTCCAAAATTCATTATTCAAAGTGTTTTGCTGTTAGCAAAATTCAACAAAAACTATACTGTATATACTCGCCTATAAGGTGGTCTGCCTATAAATCAGTTGTATTTTTTGAGGTTATTTTGGAGGGATTTGCTATTGACCCGCTTATAAATCGGTACAACTTTTTGCCAGAATCAATTGACAATTTCAAATCAATGCTCTGATGTTTTAACCTGGTTTCAAAATACTAATCTTTTTATGACTCACCTATAAGTTGGACATAGAGTATATACAGTACCTGCATTATACATGCATTAGGAAGACCAAATGCATTATTGCAATATTAAAGAGACCATTGCGGCAAATGAAATCAATGTATGAATTGTATTCAAAACTACGGGTGTACTAATTTGTCTGAAGTATATCATGATATAATGTGATACACAAAGACTTGAACAGGATATGTACATATACCCACATTCCTAAATGTAACAACAGTTTAAAAATCAATAATTTTTTTTTTTTTTTGCAAATTTCACTGTCTAATTTATGAAATATAAAATATTATTTAAAACCATAAAGCATAAAATGGTTGAAAGCTCATTTAATACAATAACTGACATAAATAGGATGTTTAATCTACATTTATTAATATTGTGGGTCATCACCCCATTTTTTGTGAAGGAATCGTGAAAGGCATTGTAATTCCAACTTGCTCACGGAGCAAGTTTTACACAGAGGACCAACTCTTTATTCAAAATTTAGTTTACATACTTAATTTTTTAACAAGTTTAATGGGTTTATAAAACTTTAAACTAAGTCAAAATATTTTGCTTTCTAAATATGGACAAGAAATGTTTTTTGCTTAAAATCACCTTAACTTCAGATAAAAAAAATGCACTGTGCTCATCCTCTTCAAATGCCTTGTTTGTAAATAACTGATAAAGGGTACATCTCACAAATGCTTCATTATTACAAATGTCTTACAGTAAATATAGGCATCACCACAACTTATTTCATTAGTAAGAATAAACCCTTAAGCAATGAATATAAATGCTGAAAAGTGGTGCATTGTTAGGAGTTGATCTTACTACACAAGTTTCGAGATTATCTCCATTGCACTCGGCACACCTCGGCCGATTCGTACCTCATCAAACGTTTGATGAAGGTGACGGAATCAGCCGAGGTTTGCCCAATGATCTCCATTGGTGCACTCTTTTGTTATGGAGGGAAGTTTTGTTTCCACATTAGCAGGCAGGTGGGACAGTTATTTATATATTGCATACATTACGTCATTGATATACTGTGAAACCTGTCTTATCCAACATGTTGAAGGGGAATAAAATCAATGTCAGATTAGACAGTGTGTCGGATTACCCAGTGTTGAATATTTCTGAGCATTATGATAAATGTCAGGTGACTTCATACAGAAAAAAAAAACATTTTTCGTTAGGTTTAGAGTACATGTGTATTTAATTGTCAAAGTGTGTGTGTGTGTGTGTTTCTTTGTTGTATAAAATATACCTTCGGCTGATTAACATTTCTTTGAGACACATCATTTGTTACAGCACTAGTAAACTCTGTAGTAATATACTATAATTTCTTTTAAACGTGCAAAACAGATGGAACTGCCAATCACTTCGAGTTGTTGCAATTTAATTTTTAGCATTTTACTTACTAACAGTAGATATTAAATATTTTGTCTACCTTCTGTAAACAGTGGTTTTATTTTTTTTTCTACACTACATTTCTCTCCGATTTTTTCTGCATTGTTAACTTCTCAAGATAGACTGTGCTATTAATACCCTCTCGTGACTTTTCAAACAAATGGGACGTACCTCTAAAACATTGTTATTGCGATTTAATTTTTATCAAACAACATTAACATTTTAAAATTTAATGGGTCTACTTAAAGTGGAAGTTTTTTGCTTCCTGCAAATCTTTTATGTGCACAGTCTCACTTAATTCAGTGTATATTAACCCGGAAATGAAACATTTTCTATTAGACGAGATGCTGTCTTCAAATTGTGTGTTGTCTACATGTTATACAGTAGTTTGCTGTACTCATTTTTTAGGGAGACATGACTTTAAAGGACTCTGACTGCATGTTTGATTTCAATTTCAAGCAAAAAATCTTATTTATTCTGTTAGGTAAAGGCAATCTAAATATCAGGTACTCCTTTTTATTTTCTATCGCGTGGATGCTATTTTGTCAATGCGAGAATAAAATTGATAACAACGAAGAGTACTGATTGCCTAATTTTTAAATTCAAACACAGTTCATTTATTGTTTATATAAACACCATCAAACTAATACATGTAATTAACTACTAAGTAGACCAAGCTTGTGCCCAAATGGAACTAGCGACTAATTATGGTACAAATGTATAATTATGTCGAATTACCCAGGTAAAATCATAAGGTAATTATCTAGTCTTGTCGACAAAAAGCACCAGAATTCGGAATGTACAGTGGTCGGAATATACAGTGTTTTATTCTATATATATTATAAAGAAATTTTTGGGAATAAAATATTTAAGTTTTAATGGTCGGAAAGTCCAGTGTGCTGGATTGCACAGTTGTCGGATTGGACAGTGGACACTGTAACATCATAACTGATTGTCGGGATGCACTCTTCAACTTGAAAATTAAGGAATTAAAGAAAAGGCGTCAATTTTTTTCAATGAACAAAAAATCAGAACAAAAGAAACTAAGAATCAGAACAAAAGAAATATCAGTGGATAAGGCCACAATTAAAAAATTGTTGGTTTGGCATTGCCGATTGAGTCTTTAAACACTTGGGTCAGTAGGTAGGGAAAATATATTTTTTTTTTTTTTGCTGATACAAAAATTAATGCTATTAAATCAATTGTGTTGTATTATTGCATTTTGTTATACAAATTAACAACTATGTCAAAACAGATATGAAATTTCACACGTCATACAGATTTCTAATACAGTTTCAGGTCTTGAGTGACAATTATGAAGCAAGAACTTCTGCTTTCTGCTTTCTGAGCAGGAAAGGGCATATACAAAACAAATCAAACAACACTAACAAATAAATGCTGAAATGATACATCGTGATATGTAGGTATATTGGGTTTGGATAATACACAGACATTATGATACGATACATCTCTCAAAACAATTTTATGATTCAATACATGAATCTAGACATAATTTAAGTTATAAAATTTTAATAAAATTACTTTCTTATTAATTTTTTTCTAAGGATAAATTAACTATAAATGTACAAACAAACAAACAAAAAAAAAAATCAAAAATCAAATCACTTGAATTGAAATTTACAGCAAGGTATTGCTGTAAAAATTATCATTAATATATTTGTCTAGGGAGGAATTGATGGGAATTGCTTTAATTTGTTTTTAAAAATTTCAAAATGATTTATAAATCATGATTGTCAAATGTCAATAAATAACACAATAAAGTAGATTCATCATTTAGTGTAATGGCTAAGCATTCAGATTTGTTGTGTTTCTCATATATATACTGAAACTTTGAATGACACAGTTTATAAACAAGCTGTCTTCTCTGTAGTAGCGGCACTAGTGAAGAATCCAACATGTTTCAAAACTTGTAAGAATGGCCTGATTTGAATGTGTAAGATACAGTTGCAATGCCAACCATGCCAACATTTGGCATTTGTTTATTTTTTAGTTATTTATGAACCAGCAATAATTAGGGCTGCACCAAATATATTGATACATATCTAGATTAATGAATATATCGTATCCAAAAAATAACTTAATTCCAATACATTTTGGGCAGGCAGTTTTTTTATGTAATTCTGTGAAAAAGTTGGGAATTTCAATCACCAAAGATTATATTTAACTGTTTTGAATTAAAACTGATCAAAAATGATATAATCGTTAAGGAGGTAGCACATCTTAGATGATTATTACAAAATCATAAAAATACATAATTAGACAACTTTACTTAGCATGTTGATTTTACAGTCAAGAAAAGTTTGAATTTGAAGTGTAATTTTTAAAGACAGTGAGACAAAAAATTAAAAATGAGTTGCAAAACAATTATTATTTTTATAAAATTCATGCATAATGATTTATAAGACTTTTTTGACAGAATTGTTAAAGAATCCAATATATTGCATATCGCATTAAAAAATGTCTTCTTCTTTTTTTTTGCTCAATACACAGCCCTAGCAAAAATGATATACAACAAGGACTTTGATTGGATTATTAAGGCCAACATTTTTTTATTTTCTGTTTTACGGGAATTTTTTTCAAAAATTTGAGTCAGGGGGTCTAAATAAAAATAAAAATAAAAGCTCGGAATTTAAGCAGTCGGTCAGAAAAATAAAAATAAAATGAAAAAATGCAATAAAATTTTTTATTTTTAATTAAGGTTGGAATTTTATTTGTATGACCTTAATTTGTTAGAAAAACAGTGCTATTTGAAAAACTTATGTACACAAAACACAGAATTGGTACTGTTAATGGATCAATGAACTATTTTAAATTTAACTTTCTCTTAGATATTTGGAGCAGGGGTGCATTTCTAGTATAAAGCTTGCAGTTTCTAACATTAATGCAAATCAAACATACAAATCTATAGTCTTCTCTCAAATGTCAAATATCATATTGTCACCACAGTAAACCTATAGGACTTCTGTCACACCCCTCATAAACTTTTCAGAATCTTTTATTTTTCGGTATTCAGCAAATTACAAGATCTGAGGATTTTGGACTAGTTCTGGCAAAGTTATGTAGAAAATACAGTGAGACATTCAATGGATCAGCTAAAATAAATTAATTCACAGAAGTGCACATGAGACATGAAAAAAAGAAAAGTTGTATAATATTTTTTTTTCAACGCACTTCCAATTAATATATACGTAGGTTGAAAAAACGTACCACAATATCTCTATTGAAAACATATTCAAACTTCCTCAATCTGTAGTATATATATCTTTTTATCCTTATGTTTTCTTTCTGAGCATGCTAACTTTCAATATAATTGTAGAAAATACACATCTTTCCCATAGTATACACATGTAAAATACACATGACAATATTCTGTTTACTGCAGAATTTAAAAATTTAATTGTTGAAAATGGTTCTAATCCACAACTGTTGAATGAAAAAAGAAACCAGGTCTTGAATTGAAATAATATTTGTAAGGGCGTATCATTTACAACAATACTTTTCCCTAGTGGTAAAAAAAAAGTTGTTTTACTAAACAAGAGCTATACATATACACTACATCAGCTGATATGAATACGCTGAACAATCAATGTACATTAATTTGTTACATAGCACGCAAAATTCCATAAAGCAATAAAAAAGGAGATAATGTCTTGTATCAATCAAGCATCAAGCATATATACTGATATATCTTCGTAGGTAATTCTGAATTCCAATATTTGTCATAAAACGAGTGAAAGTTGTGACTCGAATTTCCTCAGTCACGCCACTTTCTACCAGTTCTACATAGTTCTAGTGTTCTGTCGTTACTTGTAAAAGAAAACATTTCTGTCTTAAAATTAAGTTTAAAAAATCTTCAAGACGTATTTCAATGTATTGAAGCAATTGTCAAAGATAATACGTACTCAGAACCTTTCAAAACAAGCGGTTGACAGAACCTCGATTTCCACGTGGCCATCCGCATGACATTTGATCAAGATCACTGATTCGTCTATTTCATTCAATCTTTCATTAAAATTTATACTTTTTCTAATATATAACATTGACACGTCACTTTTTAAACTGACTATTTAAAAACACGTGAAACCCTCCGATTCTGACATTTTGGCGCTATGCTGTGCAGTGACTCTTCACGCAACGAATACTGTGATTGGATGAATCTATTTACCTCAGCCAATGACAAATCGCATTTTGAAAGGCTTGTAAAAAGGTTATTTATATTTCTTTTATTTTTTCAGAGACTATAAATAAACTATCGGCGGGAGAAATAAAAATAAAACTTGAATTGGGGACTTTTATTTTTATTTCATTTTAGCCCAAATTAGGGTCGGCGCTCCCGTAAAACAGATTATAAAAAAAAGTTGGCCTAACATTCATTCAATTGATCATAATTATTAACTGTTATTGCACTTTCATTTTCAAAATGTTGTTAGGTATGTTGTTTGTTCATTCTTTTGCATTGATATTATAATTTATAAAAGAGTATTTTAGCAGAAAAAAATTATCAATTTACCTTTCTTGGAATAAAGACATGTTGACCCTTGAGCTGAGATTTTCTCTCTTTCCATAGATGTGTTACACTGGGGTCCACATGATTCTAGCAGAGACCCTGTAAAAAAGGACTTAATTATGGAAAAGCATGAAGAATATATGCCTATTATACATATCTTAAATTCTAATAAAAACAATGTTTTTTAATTAAGATCCATATATTTCTAATGATTGACATAATACAAATTCAAAATAAAATATGCATGTCTATATTATACCTTAAGCAGACCAATTGCATTAATACATCCTTCAGGAGACCAACTTAAATCAATATTTGAGAAATATTTGTGAGAACAATAAATTTGTCTACTTTACAGTACTAAATGTACATGGAATCTATTGGATCATGTTACTTTAATTGACCTGCCTTAGTTCAACACAGTAATCTAACAAAGAAATTGAGCCAAAACAACATTTTAAGACTTTTTGAACAGTGCATGTTCCTATCATTTCAAAACCATTACCAGTAAAAAGCTAATATAGGAAAATGATGACAATTAATTAATATTGTACTTTCAGGTATATTAAATGAATCAATCTGATTCGTCAAGAAACATTTGTTAAAAAGCACTATTACCCACTGAATAATGAAGCCACGCCCTCCAGTGTCGCAACAGTCAACATTGCTTGACGACGGGTGATATTCCAAAAAATAGTGACTGCGCAGATTTATGCGCTCAAGGTTCACTATTATTTGTATTTGTATAAAACATTCAGTATAATATAATAAATGTTGCATGTAGTTGAGTGTAACATTGAAAATTTTCACCCCTTGAAAACCAAATACGTCAAAAAGGGGATAGGTTTCTTTTCCAACTTCTATATAGTTTCGCCCCTGCAAAAACTGGTATAGACCTAGGAAATGTTTAAACGGGCTAAGAGAAATCAAATGCATCGAGAGTACTTTAATTGTTTTTACCCAAGTTACATGCCAAAAAAGATTCAGAAAGATGTCACATAAAGTTAACGTTGATTTGAACTGAAGTTAGGGTGTCAAAAGTCATTCACGTCCAAAAGTGACATTGATCATGTGTGGTAGATAATAAACTCCTACGAGCAAAATATGCTGGCATAATCAAGTGAGGATCTTTCCCTAATCCTATATATAAATCCATTTAATACAATATTATATGCACTTAAGCAGCTGTTTATGACATTGTAAAATTATATAAACAAGACCAGTTTATATAATTTATAACAAGACCGGTTTATACAATTTATATACCAGGGTAATTAATAATATAATTTATATAATTTTATCAAGATAAGTGTATGGGGTAGAGGGAGCAGACATTGAGAAACAATGTTGTCGGACCTCATGAAACTAAACTAACAGTCTTCCAAATAACCCGGGAGTCCAATGCCAGGGACCTGTTAAATTTGCAGCTGGGCATGTAAAAATTGTCAAATTACATGTCCGAAGAGGGCATATGTGAATCTTCTTTCATTGTACGATCTTTACTTGCCATTTATTCTGTCCTACCCCCATTATTCCCGTAAACGTTGCTATATGTAATGTCTTAGATGGATTGCCTGTCTACATTCTCGATACGACCTGTCAAATGATTGTCAATCTAATCATTGAAGTGTTTAGTTTAACCTATTTGTTTTCTCGAAGTTTCTTGCTAAATTACGAGACGTTCATCGATGCCACATACCGTGGCACTACAGTCATGATCCCATTTCTGAAATTCAGTTCAGCTAAACCTGCCAACAAATGACCAGCATGCAACTCAAAAGTTATTAATGAACAAAAACGCTTTAGAAAATGGCAATCACGGTGAATAAACACACGTGGTACAGTCACGGAGAAATACAATGCTGAAAAAATTAATATAAAACCTTTATACCTAATGTTTTTTTTTTGTAGCACAATACTGGTAAATGTAAGAATTTTGAGTAGGGCATGTACAAATTTGAATGCGCTGGGTAAAAATGATAGGTCTACATGCCCGAAGGGCATGTGCTGAAAAAGAATTGTTGTGAAGACTGAACTAAAGTGACAGCGCCGGGTGATCATATAAAGTCCCTTTTATTACATAATAATTTGGCAAATTATCAACATATCACGCTAAAATTTCCAACATATCTTAACGGTGAGAATTTTTATTTTTTAAGTTGAAACCCTGTGACCTGTGAAAAAAATGAAATTTGTATCATCTAAAGTCTTAAGATGTATCAAGGTAATTTTCAAAACAAATTTGCGGTTGGGGTTATAAATGAAGGATAAAACCAGAGACCTCGGAATGGAATACTTGGAAGTCTCTGGTTTTATTCTACCCCAACTGGAAGTTGTATCCCATCTAAAGTCTTAAATTTAACAATGTATCGAGGTAATTTTCGAGGAATAAATGAGTGCTCTACAATAAAGAGTCTCGACCAGAGACGTCTGAAACGATTTATTTGACAAGAAAAAAGTCTCATGAAGCGAACAATGTCATTTTAAAGTAGGTTAATGATTGATATATGAACAAAATACGAGCTTGAAGCAGGGTGCCTAAAATTGAGTTAGATACCTTGTGGTAAAAATAAGTAGGGGTGCACCGTATATGAAACAAGTGCCTGTGATTGATAGTCTGAAATTTCTCTTCACATAAATATTAAAAGCTTGCAGTGGTCGCTATAAATCTATACAACAGTCAAGTTACATATGGTAAACTAACATAAAAACAAGATTACAACAGTCATGATTACAGAAGGTATATTTTGTCAGTAGGTGAATGTAAACAGGTAAACACACGTGGGACAGTCACCGCAAATAAATGAACCACAAAACGACTTATAACATTAAAATGTAAATATTCATCTGCACACAGAGTTTTGCATAATAATTTTAAAAAAGTGTAAATTAAAATATAAAATAAACAAACCTCAAACCTTGTAACAAGGCTTGTTTCCCTGCATTCTTATATCTGGTTCTCTGTCACTGAAAATGCAGGGAACCCAGGGTGCGTTATTAACTCGTACACAGATTTGTTGATACGAATAAACCTATAAACATATATATACGAAATACAATATTATCTTAAAAAATGAAGAATTTCAAATTGCTTGAAAAATTATCTTTATGTAGTTTATAATAAATGGTTGTAATTGTATATTAATTTCTATCTATCCATTAAAATTTGATATTTATATCAGCTTATGTATCCGTCTGAACAATTATTGTTTTTACACTCCAGGGCTGTCACATCTTCATAGTTAAGCCTGTAAGCATGGTAAGTAGGAATCAATTTCAGTTGAAGGGGACCAAAACCAAACATTTTTTAGTTTCATTTGGGGGGGGGGGGGTATAAACCCCAAATGATCATTTTATCTCCGTCACTGAACTGCTGAAAATAATGAAGGGAACTAGGCTGCGATAATGATTTGTAAAGAATTTCCAATTGCTTGGGGAAAAAAAAGCTTTTCGTGTATGTGGTTTACAATAATGGTTGTACTTGTATATTTTCTATATATCCATTAAAATTTCATAGTATCAGTATTTCACTATTTGTAAACATTAACTGTTACAATAATATTAAATAAATGTTACACTCACTGTGTAACATTTAGTTACTGTCACATCTTCATAATTAAACGAGAATATTCCCTTCCGTAAATATTGCTATATATCTGAACTGTTACCAATTAATCTTTCTTTGGTGAAAGAAAACCTCAGGGATGGAGAATAGGCCCGTACGTAATTTAGTTGGAGAGGGGGGGGGTGAGCACAACCAAACAACATTTTTCAGTTTCAGGTTGGGGGAGGCTACAAACTAAAAATTTCTTAATAAGCAAAAGAAAAATACATTACCAGAGGTTATTATTTAGGGGGGCCAAAAGAAAAAGTAAAAAATAGATCATCAGAGGTTATTATTGAGGGGGTCCAAACATAAAGGAGCAATGTTTTCTATAGTATACCTAAATTTCATTTCGTACGTTCCTTCAGCCATGTATTGTATCAAATCTGCTTCACCCTTTTTTTACTGCATATGTATTTTAACAGCAGAGGACCACATTATATTAATAAATAATTATTAAATTACAGCTATTTTTTTCTTACAGGGTCTGTTTCATTTATACTATATCATGATGATCATGTCCTGCATGATGTTTATAGAAAGTTTAATTTAAATTTTTAAGCTCGACATAGCTGCGTCAACTTGCGAGACTATTTTTTTCTACGTTCGGCCTAATCTTTAAATATTTTCTGCAATTTGTTTGTGGACTTGCATAAAAGAATTAAAAATATAGGGGCCTATCATTTAACTTTATTTCGAATTTCCTTTAGGATTTTATATACCGAACTATAGTCTAATGATTATTTAAAATCATACTTTTTCTCTTAAAAGCTAAATTACTAGGCAAAAAAGCAAAACAAAAAAAAAAAAAAAAAAAAAAAACACGAATGTTTGTCTTGCGTATTCTTAATTACAACTTATTACTGTATCATTTAAGTTACTCACCCAAATTTCTCAACATTCATGGTGTTCAGAGGTCATTTTCTGAAAACTGAAGAGGCATTCCGATGGCATTCGGAACAAATGACGGAAAGCACTTGCTAAGAATTCAAAACATGGTCCATAAATTTACAATATTTTTCCTTTTTAGGTTTTTAACATAAAAAGTGGAAAACTAAGTTAAAGAAACACTCATTTGAACATATCAAAAGCGGAAAAAATATATATGCTAGATTTTTTGTTTAATTGCATGTTTTTCATGGTCTCCAAAATGCAGAAAAATTATCCTTTGAAATTATACGTAGGTTATACATTCTTTTCTTTTTTAGGGAAGATGATAGGAATTAGACAACTTTTGAATGTTAAATAACAGAGTTAAAGATTAATAATATTTAATGGCAGACTGTTTATTTATCTATAAAAAGACATTTGCAATACTGATGAGGTCAAAATAATAGGGAGACCGAAAAAGGTCGCCTTAATCCAGTGGTCTCCCTAAGCTAGAAAATATATCCTCCTTGGTCTCCTAAAGCCATATGTCATATATATATATATATATATATATATATATATATATATACTATTACATTAAAAGTCTGGGAAACTATAGTACTAAATTACACTCAATTCGTGTAAAAATTCTTATATTTTATTGATGTTGTGCTTCATTGTTAATAATAGTTTCACTACTAAGATAGATCTTTATACCTTTATATAGTAATAATACAGTGAAGAAGTCACTTTTGGACAAGAAATTATAAAAGTTGTCATGATCGTAGGAACGGGGTGGGGGGTGGGGGTGCCCCCTAATAATTTTGTTGATATATAGTATACTATGCAATATAGAAAATATATAGACAATATTTATTTCCAATCAAGGGCCCCCAGAGAGGCATGAAAGATACATTAGTAGACAAAGGCAGTGATTTATCAAAACATAGCTACTATATGCTTGTGCCCCCTCAGTAATAACATTTGATAGCCTTTTTATCTGCTTGCAAGAAAATTTTGAATTTTGGTAGTGCCCCCCAACTGAAAAATATTTAGTTGCCCCCCCCCCTCCCCCCTCCCAACTGAAATTGCTTCCCACGGGCTCGACTATCAATATGTACATACATTTTTTTTTCTACAATGTTCCATCGGGATCGAGGTCCTATTTATTTTGTGACGTCATCACTTTGGTAATCACAGAATTGAGAATAGAATAAATTGTTTTCATGAATTTCTCTTCCTAGTCGGAAATATTTCACATTACCGTTCAGATTTCCAGAAGGACAGGTAAAATTATGTGTTAACTCCTTTTCTATTCATAAATACTGTCGTTGTGGTTTCCTATTGCAGATATTTTTTTTTATACCGACGACAAGGCTGTATAATTTCACCGAAATAGCGATAATGTTTTAATAAAAAATCAAAATTCACTTTTAAAGTATTTTGTTGAAGTGGATTGTCAAAACTGTATTGCAGCCTTAAGCGAAATACTTGCATTAAGTGCTAGCAATAGACTGCCAGTAAAAATTGGGTAGATGAGGAAAAACCAAAAACTACCAGTGTTTTAGATGTCTTTCTCAAAAAGATTCGAGCAAATAATTTTAATCAGAACATTGATTCGTGTTAAGCCCAGAAATAGATTGTTCAAACATTCTGTCTCTTTTGGCATTTGTATGAAGGTATTAAGCATTAAACAAGCAGGAGAACAAGGAGGGGGTGGGGTCTGTGAAGACAGGAGCAAAGTCACTCTGATCAGTTACATTATCTCATACATACATATTTAATGAAGCTTTTATGTGTAACTTTTTCATTGAAATGTGGTTAAAAGCGGAGGTAGTTTCATTCATTTTCTATTTTGGGAGTGTAGAATATTCATTAGTACAATATTGTGCAATGCTTAAATCATGTGACTAGCACTATGAGCTGAATAATTCTCATATTTCTCTTATTAATGTCATATTAAAGATTCAAATTAACCATCAATTATCATTGGTAAACATTTTTTTTATATATTGTTGAAATGTATGCAATGGAAGAAAAAATCAATTAATGTTAATTATTGTGTAAAATTTATAGAGTCATCTGAGTAACCTAACCCATACCTGTTGTTTATTTCAGACATTTTGGGAAAATGTCAGCACCATCAGCCCCTCCTCCTTCCTATAACCAAGCAGCAGGTACTGTAACAGTTTATAAAATAATAGTAAATGGAGAAGTGTAGGAATAATCTAGTTTATTGTTCAGTGTTGTTTTACATACTTCTTTAATACTTGTGTAATTTAATTAGTTTTAATTCACACAGTATATTAGTTTTTACAATTAAATAATTAAATTGACTTAATTTTTTTTTCTTGAAATGATTTTTTTTTACACTGTACAAGAATGTAAATAACGGAAAAAAGATATATTCCCACATATCTGAAAGAACTACATTTTTTGAACTATGACACATTCCATAGCTATTAGTTTATGCAGTCGTTATTCATATGACAATGACGAGAAATTAAGGTATTCTTTAAGTCTTTGCATGTTATTCTGTTGCTATATATTTGGTGGTAGACAACTGTATACTTGTGTATCACTATGAATAATAGTTAGTCAACAACAGGAAGAGGAAAATAGATGATACAGTCACTTACCGGTAATGCAGAACACACCTCTCAGTTTTAAGGAAGGGGTTCTTTGTACATGTACTTTACGCTTTTATATATAATGGGTATATTTCAAAATTTCCATTTGTTTATTTATCCTTATATTTATTGGCAAAAAGAAAAGCCATTTATTACCTGGATAATTTTTGTATCCATATTTTCCACAAATTTAATAGTATTCAATATTTAAATATCTAATAAAAATATGATAATATCTGAGTTGAAATCATTTACACAACACAAGCTGCAGGGTTATGCTTGTCATTTAACTGGTATGAATATTAGTAATCTTATCATATTTTGCAGCTATATTTTCATACCAATTTGTTTATTCAAAAGCAGAAAAACCAATTCCAGATGCACATGCATCCTTATTTCAAATACCAGTATTGTAGATTCCTAAATATAGCGTAATTTCGGGAGAAGAACCACTCGCAAAATAGATTTACTCGCTTTTATTTTTATGGTACTGAAATCCATATAAAATCTCTTGATCAACTGTCCTTTCCCGAATTATTGTTCTCACGATTTGACATCAGAGAGCCATTTCGCTATATTAATCTTAAGTACTCCCAAAAAATAAGAAATGTACAGTATAAAGTTTACTGTGTACTTGGAAATAACATTTATTTATAATGACATATGTTTCTACTGTCAAATTCAGAAGAGTTTATGTGATTGGAAGGTATCAGCTGTCCATTTAGCTATCTGTTTGTTTGTCTGCAAACAATACATTGTACCTGCACCTTTGTACATGTATCTCAAAATGCTACTCCTCCTTGACAGTTTTTATATGATATCAATTATTAAGTTTTGATGTGCAATCTTTCTCTAATTACAATCCAGTAGAGCACTTTTTTAAAATGATAATCTTTTGAGAACATAGATAGGGGGCCAGGACCATTTCCTCCTTTATGTAACAAATGTTTAGAATTCTAGATTTTTTATAGAAAATTCAGTGATTATTTGATTCTGATTTTTAGTATTTCTCATCATTAAGATAATCAGTGTAATATTTATCTTTCAGATTATCCTGGCAAGCAAGAAGGGTACTCAACACAGCCAGGGTATCCACAACAATCTGGAGGATACCCCCCACAGGAAGGGGGATATCCTCCACCAGCAGGTGGATATTCCCAACCACTAACAGGATATCCACCAGGATACTCCCAGCCAACTAATTATGGTGATTTCATTTGAATTTTCTGAGCTAGAGATAGTGTGATGTGTTCAGAATTGAAAACAACTGTTTTCATATATGTAAAGCTGCTTGTAAAAATTTTGTTTGGAGATAATGTACATCATATAGAATATATCCTTGTAGAATTTTTAGAATTGGAAAAAAAAAAATATAATTTTAGACAACTTATTAGATATAAACATGATAAATAGTGATTAATTTTGCTCATAAAATACAGTAAAGCTTCGTTATCTCCAACTCAATGGGGTCGTGAAAACTCTGAGATTTGAGAGTTTGAGATATTGAGGTTAAAATACATGAAGAAAGAGTTGTTTGGACTTCGAGATGTAAGACTTGGGGCTCAATGCTGGCTTGTTTTATTGGTTTTCTAGTCAGTAGTAAACAGTACATGTATTTCTCTTGTTTAAATTTATAATAATTACATATGAGGGAATTCTACTACACATTTTGGAAACATTTATTGAGTGTGGGATGCATAAGCAATTTTTAAAAACATTTTAGACAAATTTTCTTAGGATATGGAGCACCAGTTCCACCAGCACATGATCCCGAGCCTATTTTTGTCGGTGGTACCTTTAGTGACAAGGCTGTGAGGCGAGGCTTCATCCGAAAGGTAGGTTAGTCTCAAGGAAATCGAGGTCGATGAACCAAGAGCTAAGATGTTGAAGACAGTTTTTAACGATACAGTACTCATGCATCACTAAAGCCTATGTATAGTAGTACTTTCAGCTCTTAAATAAGCATATGACAAGGAGCTGACACCTTCTTCAGTTTGATCTGTAATATTAACACAGAGTGCAAATCAGATGTGATTTCTTCCAGCTATATATCCTGATCAGAACTTGAAGTCAAATCTGTATGTAAAAATATATAGCTGTGCTGATATTATAACCTAGAATTTCGAAAGTAAGCCTTATCTCTTTTTTTTAATTAATTGGAGTGGGGGATGGAGGTTAATTTTCAAATACATCTTCAGAATGATGAAATTTTCAAGAGAAAAATGTTCCCAGAAATGAATACATAAAGTAATCAATTTAAATCTTGCTGTCTACAATTACTTCTTATAGTACTGGATGTTCCAGAGTGTTCACGTCAGATGTAAATCCCAGATCTATAACTGGTTATATAACTAGAAAATTTTGAATCAATAACTACTCAACAATAAAGACAAAGAGTAATTAATTTTCCTATATCTTGGGAAATCCAAAAATCACCTCAGACATTAAATCTTATTATCTCCTTGAATTTTCCAGTATTGATATTAAACAGTACTGTAGGATTAGACAGATTGTACCATTAGACAATTAATTAAGCTCCAAAGCAAGATAGCTAAAGCTGCTTAATATGTTAAATACCACTACTTCTGATGTTACTTGACAATTAACTTATTTTCCGGTACATGTAGCTTCATGGGTACAATGAAAATATAGTGGATTTCTATCTCTGAGGATTAAGATCCAAAATAACATTTATATTAATGGTGTTCATTGGCTGTTTGTTTTAAATTTTTTTCCCCCTCAAAATGCTATACCTACAGCAGATTTAGTGTGTCAAAACTTGGTATGAAGTAAACTACATAGTTGGCACTGGCGGATTTAGAGGGGGCCCCATTTTGTGTCCAAACCCAGAAGTGGTTGCCCCCCCCCCCCCCCTTTTCAAGATTCCTGGATCTGCCACTGTTGGGCTCTCCTACTATATATGCAGTAGTAAACAGTACATGTATTTATATTTATATCAATATGACAATAAATAAGATAATGTAAAACATATACCAGGTATATATATTACCTGAGAGAACATGGCATTTCATACATGAACAAGAAAAACAAAGAACTTGATAACTTATGCAAATTTATCACTCATATCATGATGAAAATAAAAAAAAATAAAGGTGCTAGGTATGTCCAAAATTATTTACCTTAAATGTTTCAGAATTTAGGCAAGGAATGTAACTAGCAACAGTGGTAATAGTTCTATATCAGGTTTGTATTTTGATTAAAGCTGTTGTCATGGTTATTAAAATAATCTTAAATAATTTTTTCCCCAAATGTTACTTCTCCTATTGTTTTGTTTTCATGGTTATTATGAATATATATACGTGTAATAATTATGAACTTCTCTCAAAATGCTTTTTCTCTTACAGTTTCGATTTGATTTCCTTGAAACTGGGTTCAAGTTTAGAAAAACATCAATTAATATTCTGTGATTGCATAATGGAAAAAGAAATTTTACCAGTCCATGTGCAAATTTTCCCTTTATTATAGGTCACCTGAGTCACTCAGGTGACATACTGCTATCTGCTTTCATCTGTCATCATGCGTTGTGTGTCATCTGTTAACATTTGAACATTTTAAGCTGCTCCTCTGGAATTGCTGAACCTGTTTCAACCAATTTTGGCATAAAGCATCTATAGATTAAGGGGAACAAAAATTATAAATTTCTTGGTTCCTGCTACTCTGGAGCCTGAGCGATGGGGCTAAAACCACCAATCTTCAAAAATCTTCTTTACTTTTTGACATCAAGCAGCCAAACTGTTGTCATGATAGTAATGAGCTTTTAGCCCTCTACCAAAATTGTGAAAGTTATGGCCCCAGGGTCAGGAGTTCTGGTGTTAGGGTGGTACTCTACAGATCATATAGTGAAAATGCATAAAATCTTCTCTCCTCTTTATGTTTAGCAGAACAAACAAAGTGCATAAATATGATGCGTAAAAGTGCCGCCTCAAAAATTGTGAAATTTGTGGCCCCTGGGTGTGAAGGTGGGGCTCTATTGGTCATATGGTGAAAATGCATTAATTCTTTGAAAATCTTCTTCTCTGCTAGTGGGTATTTAAAATACAAACTTAGTGCATGGTTATGATGAGCAAAATTGTTTCTTCCAAAATAATGAAATTCATGGACCTGGGTCAGGGGTTCTGGAGCTTGGACAGGGCTCCATTGATCATACAATGAAAGTGCATTAATTCTTTGAAAATCTTCTTCTTTGCTCTCGAGTATTTAGCAGACATATTAAGTGCATGGTTATGATGAGAAAGAGTGCTTCTGCAATTATGAAATTCATGGCCCCTAAGACAGGGGTTTTGGAGTTAGGGTGGGGCTCTATTATGATCACACTCTGCTTTAAGAGAAGCACTCCTCTATTATTCACTTATGATTATCAATCAGTGTTAAATAATGTAATTGATAAGTAAATTGAATGAAAGAATTATGCAAGAATTTGTAAAATAATAAGTACTTTCATAGTTTTTGATAGTCAGGTTGACCTTAAAGTAATAGATGAATGAAAATGGGACAGAAATACCTTATATGAAATATTGTTCTAAGGTCAAGAGAGGCCAATATAGTATGGGGATGATGCTATGTTATGATCTATGCTAAAGGTCTGTTAATTATCATAGAGTGCAGATTGCACTGGCATGTACAGGCAAATTTATGAAGTGCCGCTGATTACCAGACTGACTATTTTATTGATTCCTGATCATCTTTTTTATCTTGTTGTATAATTATTTACAATTCCATGGATCCTTTACAGGGTTGTATTGTACTCATGTGACCGTGAAGGCCCTTGGGCCTCTTGTACCCTATTGTAAGATCTTGATATCAAATTATTAGAGCTACAGCATCATCAGAGACTTTTGGTAATTTATATACTTGCTTTTTTACCACTTATTAGCAATTAACTCTTGATTTTTTTTCTAAGCTTGCCTATAAAGAAGCCCAGAAGGGGAGGGGGGGGGGGGGGGGGGTAAAATGCATTTTCTGTGATTGATAATGTCTTCTGTGATTTTCTGTAATACAACTAAATTGATAGTGTAATCTGTGATATGGGTGGTTACATTTATAATTCTTATTTACAGGTTTACTTGATCTTGATGGCACAGCTGTTGGTGACATTTGGATTTGCTTTTCTGTTTTCTTATGTGTATGTAATCCTTACAGTGAAACAATGCAGTTCATAAGAAAATGTTGAAGTTTAAATTCTAGACTGAAAAAAATTTTGAGTGATCATTACAAAGCCTAGTTTTAATAATCCAAATAACATTGTATATGTAAAGTCTTGCTAGATAAAAGGATGTTCATATAAAGAATATTCTTGCACTTGTAGGACACCTGTCAGAAATTGGATGCAGACAACTGGAGCTTGGTTTTATTATCTTGGATAGTAAGTTATATTTCTCATCACTGCACTAGTTCTTTATTATGATACTTTGTCTAAAGGAGGATTTCATAAGCCTTATTTGTGTCTGTATATAGATATATGTATATTTAATTATTTTTACTTATCTAAGGAGGTCAAGCTTGGAAACCCTATGTTGTTGTCATCATTTTATGATATGAAACTTATGCTTTGGAGGTGGTTTATGTAAAGGAGAAAGGCTGAAAACTGTCCATTCTGTGAGAGAAAGAACTAATCAAGGGTTGTAGGCCCGAGATTAGTTCTTTCTCTCACAGAATGGACAGTTTGAGGCCTTTCTCCTACTTAAAATATGATTTTCTTTGTTCTGAAAATTAAATGAAAAATGTACAAAACTGGTATCAGATATAACAAGTAGCACACATACAATGACAAGTTCATTGTTTACAGAATGGACAGTCACAGGTAAGGTAGAGATGCAGAGCAATTTGTTGAATAGCCATTGTGTTTCCAGAAGCAAATAACAAAAGGTCTTTGTCTTAAGAATGGACAGTTACAGGTGAATTTTTGGGATACTAGTATTTTTACAAGTATGCGATGTTCCAAAATCAGTTTACAGTTTGCGTTGTAAAGGCATACATGTTTTTCTGTGATGGAGAGAGTATATGACAGAATCAAAATCTAATAATCCAAATATATGCACTTAATTAGTGATATTTGGATCTGGAAACAGAAAAGTAAAAGAAATATTAGCCAAATTTTGACCCAAAAATGAACTTCGACGACAGATACAGAAGATCAAATTTGAATCAAACCTGGAAATGTTTTATTTGAATTCTGTTTATGAACTGCAGCAATGTAATGGTGAGATGCAAATTGTGTTCTTAGTGTTGGATTAGCCATGAGCCATTCTTCGACCTGAAAATGTTTTTTGAATCAAATCTGGAAATGTTTCATTTTTATTTATTTTCTACCGAAATATTAACTGCAGCAGTGTAGTGTTCATGGTGCAAATTGTTTTCTGGGTGGAGGATTTAATATTAGACGTACTTCTATCTGAAAGTGAATTCTTGAGGGAATAATTTTTCTGAAATTTTAATCAGATACTTAATTGTGTCATTTGAATTCAAGTTTTGTGAAAATTAAGTTTTGAGTATTGAATAATGTGCATTATTCATGGATTTAAGAGAGTAAAATCGAGTGGATGCTGTGCAGACATTGTGTTCTGGATTAACTTTGATCCCTGCATTCTTTTTGTTATTTACATGTAAATTAAAAAGTATTTAAAAGAGTTCTGATTCTATGGTATTTTCTGCAGTTAGAGTGATCTGCCCTTAGATCTAAATTCCATTAAATAGAAATTTACAGCATATTACTCAATTTGTAATCAATTCAAGTATTCTTAACATTTTAAAAGGCCAAGATAAATTAATTGAACACATTATTTACATGTATGTTCTCCATGGAAATAAACAACAGTGATTTCTGTTCACTGATACTGTGTTGTGTTTGAACATTTTTCCTGGGGGTAAATGCCACGCACCATATATTGAAAATTAAATAGATAAGCTCAATATTTACACCTTTATTCAGTGTAATTTTCTCAATATCCCAAAAACATTCTGCACTGGTGTAGAGAGGGTCCTTAGTGTATTTGTTTTTGTTTCCCTCTGGAACACATTCCAAAGTTTACCTGTAACTCCATTTTGTTTGTTTTAACTGTCCATTCTTTTTGAAAAAACTGTCCATTCTTAAAAGAATGGACAGTTTTCCAAAAAGAATGGACACTTACAGGTAACTTGATGGATTGTTTGAGGATTTAGCTCAACATTAATCTATAGAGTGGACAACACAAACAAAAGGTTTATGTCACAATCATGTTTTAATTATATATATATATATATATATATATATATATATATATATATATATATATATATATATATATATATATATATATATATATATCTTCTTATAGTGGTGTTTTCCTCGTGACCTACTTTGTACTGGTCTGTATCCCCTCTGTCAGACGGAAATCTCCGGGAAACTTTATCTGCCTGGCAATTTTTGTGAGTACAGTAATTAAGCATTTGTATTGGCAGTTAACATGTTACATTCAATTGGACAGTTGTGTTAGAACAAATGTTTATATTCAGTTTTCTGATTTACATATATTAATTTACAGACACTTGCACTATCATGGATGGTTGGAACAATCAGCAGGTTCAGTATTTAAATATACATGTAATTCTTGTCTTATTCAAAATTCAACTTAAAAGCATCTACTTTAAACTATTGTTTTAATTTATTTAAGTCTATTAATTTTATGGGGGGGGGGGGGATTATATAGATAAATATTTCAGAAATCAAAAAGAAAAGTTCACTTCATATATTAGTACATGTAGATCTAATATAATGGATTCTTTACAAAAGCTTTTACACCACGAATTCTGTCCTGGTGGCAGCTGGCATCACCGCTGCAGTGTGTCTGGCTATCTCCCTGTTTGCCATACAGACAAAGGTAACTTTTTTTTTGACAAGTTTTTTTATCATATTAAATGAAAGTTTAATACAGAGTGCTTTTAGGCAGTGGGTACATTTCCTATATTAGCTTTTTTAGCTCACCTGAGCCGAAGGCTCAAGTGAGCTTTTCTGATCACATTTTGTCTGTAGTCCGTCTGTCCGTCTATCCGTCTGTCTGTCTGTCTGTAAACTTTTTACATTTTCTACTTCTTCTCCAGAACCACTGGGCCAATTTCAACCAAACTTGCCACAAAGTATCCTTGGGTATAGGGGATTCAAGTGTGTTCAAATGAAGGGCCACGCTTCTTACAAGGGGAGATAAATATGAATTCGTGAAAAATTAATGGCATCATTAAAAAATCTTCTTCTCAAGAACCACTGTGCTTGAAAATATGAAACTTATGTGGAAGCATCGTCAGGTAGTGTAGATTAAAGTTTGTTCAAATCATGATCCCCAGGGGTCGGGTGGGGCCACAATGGGGGATCAAAGTTTTACATAGGAATGTATAGGAAAAATCTTTAAAAATCTTCTTCTCAAGAACAGCAAAGCCATGATTGGTCATATTTACATGGAAGTATCCTCAGGTAGTGTAGATTCAAATTTATTCAAATCATGACCCCCGGGGGTCGGGTGGGGCCACAATGGGGGATCAAAGTTTTACGTAGGAATATATAGGAAAAATCTTTAAAAATCTTCTTCTCAAGAACAGCAAAGCCATGATTGGTCATATTTACAAGGAAGCATCCTCAGGTAGTGTAGATTCAAGTTTATTCAAATCATGACCCCCGGAGATAGGGTGGGCCACAATGGGCAATCAAAGTTTTACATATGAAGAATACATAGTAAAAATCTTTAAAAAAAAACTATTTTTTAAGAACAGCAAAGCCATGATTGGTCATATTTATATGGAAGCATTCTTAGATAGTGTAGATTCAAGTTTGTTCAAATCATGAACCCTTGGGGTAGGGTGGGGCCACAATGGGTGATCAAAGTTTTACGTAGGAATACATAGGAAAAATCTTTAAAAAAACTATTTTTTAAGAACAGCAAAGCCATGATTGGTCATATTTATATGGAAGCATTCTGAGGTTGTGTAGATTCAAGTTTGTCCAAATGATGACCCCTGGGGGTAGGGTGGGGCCACAATGGGTGATCAAAGTTTTACATAGGAATACATAGGAAAAATCTTTAAAAAATCTACTACTCAAGAACAGCAAAGCCATGATTGGTCATATTTAAATGGAAGCATCCTCAGGTAATGTAGATTCAAATTTATTCAATTCATGCCCCCCCCCCCCCCCCAAACCACTTTTATATTTAAACTTTTCAACCTTTCAAGACTGAACTGATTTCTGCTTTTTCCTAGCCAGAGTACTCAGGTGAGTGATGTGGCCCATGGGCCTCTTGTTAAAATTGTAATCATAAAGTATTTTGGCAACCATAGATATCAAGTTCAGGGAAACTTCAAGTGTCATTAAAGTCACACAGAGAAAAATTTTTATGCTGTAGATTGACTTCACCATGTGCTCGGGATTGTTGTTTGCGTTAGTGATGGTGCTGTTCTTTTTTGGCTGGTCTGTCATGATCGTTTATTTCACCGTTGGATACAACTACGTATGTTCTTTTCTTGCAAATCATTTACAACATTTTGATTCAGCAAACTTTTGTATCACTAATTTTTGTGTAACTTATGACCTCTTAACAAGACATTCAGACAAAAGTTGATATATTTGCATGCATTTAAAATACTGTATATGTACTTTTTTCCCCAAGTGAGATTAATTTATACTATGTATGCAGTGACACACTTTCTTCTGAAATTTATCACTGAGTAATTTAAGACATACAATGGAAATCTAAGAAATTCGCGTAATTTTCTGCCCACGGATTGAACGGAAATAGTGATTCAGCGGAATCATGACCCCAGCAGGAAAAAGTATGTTTACAGTATGTGAAAATATATTCCTTTCAGCATTGTCTTAAAATGTTGTGGTTTGAATATGGCATTTAGACCTATCCCATACTGTAAATCACTTATTATTCCTCAGAACTCTATTTTCACGTAATGATGTGTGTCTGTCTGCTCGCAAAAATTTCATTTATGCATATATATTTACATTTCCAATGTCTTTGTCCGAGATAAAATTACAAATTGTAAAAATACTTTATTTCTACATAAATCTACTGGTTCATCGATAGGTGCGGTTAAAAAAAATCATGTGCGGGGCGTGACAAATAGAGACAGAAGTGGGGCTATTAGCACGGGAATTTGCAGAATCAGGAGCATGTAAATATAAGGAATATTAACTCTCAGATTTTTTGGATTCATGACGATGATCAATCGATTGGCTTGCGTGATAATTTCATGCATAAATGCCGAAGGCATTTATGCAAATTATCACGCAAGCCACTCGATTGATCATTGTCATGAATTAAAAAAAATAAGACAGTTATTCCCTAAATTTACATTGCTAAGGATTATATACAAGAATAACCACAACTGGCGAAAATTTTTGTTTCACTTATAAATACCAAATAGCTATCAATTGAAAATAAGGTATTGTGAAAATATAGTGATCTACAGTAATGTTTAATTTTAGTGTGTCATTAAGATTGATACCTTGTGTGTCTGTTTAAGAGACTGTTTTCTGTGTTTTACAGATCCTGGACTGTGTTTGGGGAGGATTGGCTGCTCTTGTTTTCTCATTGGTAAGATTATAGAACAGGAATGTTGAAGCTTGTTAACATATAAAGCAGATTCTAACATTCGCATGCCAATGTAACATTTCGTTTATAGTAGCCATAACCCCCAAATAAACAAACAACTAGATAAACAAAACAAAACCACAAAAGGAAGGGAAAAAATAGTGTCAGGGTATTCTGGAATTAATCTGTCTGTCCATTTATTTAATCTCAAAAAAATATATGTGTGCATACTTATGAAAAGTAAAACTTTTGACTCAGGAGGATACAAGAGGTGTCAGTTTTGAAATATGGTTGTGTAAAATGTCTGTACTATAAATATAATACCTTTTTTCTAATAAATGGGATTTAAGATTTGCCTTGCTCTCAAAAACTGTGAATGCTAACTTTCAATTACTGCGTATACTTTACACACCCAGAAGTCAAAATGTTTGACAAATTTGCTTTTAAATTTGTTTTGAATGCAAAGTAGACTTCATAAGTAATTGATTCATAACTCTTACACCAGTGTTAATAAATTCATTGCTCTTAATTACAATTCTTATTCTTCAGTTCTCCAATTTTATTTTGTGATTCTTGTTTTATATTATGAAATCAAGATAAAATTCATCTTCATCATTTTAAAATCCTAAAAATTGAGAGAACATTTTGCAGAAAAGGTACATTTCAAGGTACTGAATTTTGCCGAATTTATTTGACTGAAAATTGATTTACTAATGTAATGAATTGTGTGCCTACTTGTAGATTGATTGTTGTTTCATTTGCATGAAATAGTTCCTTTGTATTGATATAGTTTCTAGTCTACGACACCCAGATGATTGTGGGTGGTAGGAAACATGAGCTGGGCCCTGAGGAGTACATTTATGGAGCAGTTCAGCTCTACCTTGATGTGGTTTACCTGTTCCTCATTATTTTGGCCTGTTTTGGGAAGAAAAATTAGGTCCTTAAAAGTTTGGTATCCATAGTCCTCCTGAAAGGTCTAGATAACAATATGTGTTTCTTCTCATACCAATTATGGTTGAGTTTATAGATGTCAAACAGGGAAATGTGAAAGTAAAGTTCAACAAAAGAACTATAAATGCAATTGCTTAGTATTGAAATATATTACAATACATATAAGGTCTTGCAATTGTATAAAATTTGAAATCAATAGAAAAGACATGATATGTACTTATATAATTATGTGCAAAATTTATAAGTTGTTGATTTATTCAAAAGAATATTGTTTCCATGGTTTCTATTTAATTATTGTAAGGGAGAGAAGCAAACTACAGGGTATCTAAGTGGCGTTAATAAATCTGCATAACTTTTTGTCTTTTTTTAACAGCTCAATTAAATTTTTAAAATGTCCTTACTTAGATTAGTTGGGGAAAATAAGGCAAATTCTGCAAATTTTTAATGTTGATGGAGAAGAAACATCCGTGCTATTTAGACCTAGGGTAGTTTGTGAACAAAATTGTTGTTTGATGCAGTATTCCAATGTTTTTGTTTCCTCTTTCAAGGCAAAAACTTTCTTTTTCTTTTGTTTGATTTTAAGTTTTACATGTAGTTCTCTCTTTATCATCTTTCTCCTTATTTGAGATAAATATCTTTAGTGTTGTGTCGGTTGTATATATAAGATTGGGTGTTAAAATAAGTTTATGTTTTGTGTACAGCACATTTGTATGTAGGTTTTAAGGAAAAAATCACAGTATTTATTTGGTAGATTTGGTTTGAAAGCCACATAGATTCTCAAAATATTTATGGTAAACTTTTTGGAAAAAAAAAAAATTCCCAGATATGTGAGACCAGCAGAATATTTATAATGTGTGTATCTTGGCATATAGATCTAGATGTATTTTTGTACAGGTGTTAGGAAGGAAAATAAAATAGAGGGAAAATTATATTTGCAATTTACATGGCACAGCCATTAGTTGGCATAATCATGATCATTGCCAAAATATATTTCTGCGTGTGCAATGAATAGTTGTACAGTGTATATGCTTCCAAATTGAATAAAACACGCATTTATCACATTAGAGAAAATTTATTCCGCTACCTTATGTGATTAGGGCACTGTTAAAGTCAAACAGTAACTAATATATGCTTACATTTACATTATTGCAAGGACAAATTTTTTGTCAGTGTGAAAGAAATTTTATCACCCAATGCATACTGGACACAGCAGCATGAGCTTTTCAGTAACTGGTTGCTATCAGAGCTGCTTGATTTATGATCCAAAAAAGGTGAAAAGTCTCTAATGTAGTGTGGAATGTAAATATATATTTATTATACGCATATAAATGTTATGTAGTAATTTCCAGTTGTACTACGTTGTGAATGGCCTGCCTGTACAACAGATTCTAAATATGCTGAAATATGTGCATAGTATTTTTTCCCAAATCTCTATGCATTGAATAAAAGTGGATGGATATGTTACCACTATGGTGTGTGCATGTCGAAACATGCTATATGAGAGGATCTTTGTCTTCATTGTGCATGACTGTTCACACATTTTGATATCGTTGACTGTTGGAGTTCACATTACAGTTGATATTACATGTATCTTATCACTTGTGAAAAAAATATTTCATTTTCTTCTAAATGTGCATTTATTGTACCTTCATATACATGTATCACTTCTTCAATTTTTTTCATTTATCTTGATATGAAAGGAAAACATTTCTTATGCATTTAGTTTTTTTTTTACTAGTACATGTATATATATAGAATTATGTAAAAACTTATGTATATTAATGAACTCATATTCTTAAATTTTAAATATTTTAAATTGTAATTAACAAGGTATTCTTAGCTCTTTTGAGCAAGAAGTTCTGAACATAGTTTGTCTAACATCTACTGTTGAGTCTCCGCTCCAGAACCGTATGTTGTATAAGTCTCCTTGAGCATGGAGATTTAACATACATAAAACATCTGAAATTTCCTATGGGATATGTTTGCCAAATATTTTTGTTAATCTAAGAGGACAGAGTGAAAACTGGGTCAATTTAACAAAGAATACTTAATTCTAAATATGGGAACTTTTTAATGTACTGGCAAACTCACTTTTAAATTATTGAATAGTCAAACCTGTTTACCTCAATTTCAGTGGGCCTGAGAGAAAAAATCTTCAAGATATCCAATGATTTTAGATAATGAAGTTAAACTTAGTAGTTGGGACGTCCAATTCACTTTGATATATCCTTGGTATTTGAGATATCAATGTTGGAGATACTCAAGTTCAACTGTATTTGTTTGCCAGAGAGCAGATATAAAAAGAGAAAAAAAATTGTGCTTATGTACAGTAACAAAAGAAAATAAGTACACATATTTTATAAATTGTTGGACTTCACAAGGTTCTGGTCCCCTTAGGTGAGCACTGTGACACACAAGCTTATGGCCAACATCTTGCTCTATTAAATGCACTAAATCAATACTTTTTTATTTATGATATTTAGAATAAAAGATTTCGAATTGCACTGAAGGAATGCATCTGAATTGATACTGGCTTAAAAAATTTTTTGTTGATTTATTGTCTGTTTCTTTGTAGTTCCTGGTGTATGACACTCAGATGGTTGTTGGGGGTAAGAAACATGAACTGGACCCTGAGGAATACATCTACGGCGCTCTCCAGATTTACATTGACATTGTGTACCTTTTCCTCATCATTCTGTCGCTGTTTGGCAAGAGCAATTAGAATCAAGCAGGAACTTTTTTTCCAACTTCTTGAACAATCTGAAAGGTTACGTACATGTATATTACTCTGTCTATTTTGTCAGTCAGTCACAATTGGAATTTAAACGGACGTCATGATTACACTGTAAAATGTTATATGTATTGTTAATTCATGACATTTTTCTCTTGAATGTCTCTCACCTTAGTACTATTGGGTGGTTACCTGTTTACATGCATGAGTACATAAGCACAGTTTTTAATGCATGTATGTTTATTTTTGATGAGATTTACTTTTTATGATAGATAATTTTGAAAAAGTTAAATTGATTTTGCTTTAGTTTATATAGAAAGCATCGATAATGCTTACTGATTGTTTAAATATATTATAACTTTTTGTATACGTGGTTAAGTTTTAAAGTAAAAGGCAACTCCTTAAGAATTTTAGCTACAGCAGTGTAAATATGAAATTATAGTATTTAATTTCTTAGTAAGCACAAGTAATAATGACATAATTATGTAAAGTTTTTAATTTCTTTTTAACTACATGTACCAGGAGGTAAATTGCAAGGGTTTTTTTCCATAATTTTAATTTCATAATTCATCATACATTACGTACCAATTGTTATTAATTATAAAAAAAAAACGTAATTATACTGTACTTTTTTTGTTGGTCTGTTGTGTGGATGTTATACTGTATTAGTTCAAACAATATGTTTCTCTCAATTAATTACAATCAAGGAAAAAATATGTGATATGTCATAATTCTTTGCAATTTCTGAACAAAATTTGTAATTGTTCCATTTTAAATTTTTTGGATTCTATCCTTATTGAGTTGACACAATTACATGTATAAGATTATGTTTCTCTCAATTGATTACAATCAAGGAAAATGTTATATGTCATAATCAATGTTCTGAACACTTGGTTTTAATTTTTTTAAAATTGCTGAAAGTGGAATGAGGCTTTGTTCTTTCAGCGGTACTGGTTAGAGACCAGAAGTGCTTATGTGATGGTAAAGTGTTCATCATCTATCTACCTGTCTATCCATCCATAAACAAGAACTCAAAATGCTACACATTGTACAGATTTGGTTCAGTTTCAGTAAATACTTGGTTAACTTCTAAACTAAACCATTTTCTCCATTGGATTTTGATTCCTTTGAATGGTATTTTCATGATGACTAAAATTTGGATTTCAGTAATTTTTGTAAGTGCACAGACTTCATTAAAAAAAATCTCTCTATCAGATTTTGATTTCAGTGACTGCAGGTGACATGTTTACCAATATGGAAATTTCTGTGAATTTCATTTAAAATGCAACTACTCCTATAGTTTTGGTCCTATATCAGTAAAAAAAAATTTACAAGTAGACTGAACTAAGTGTACTATTCTGATTTTGAAGAGCATTGCCATCATTTTTACGGAAATTAGTTAAGGAAATTCTTTCAAAACACTACTCCTCCTACAGTTTTGGTCATGCAGATTTCAAGAAAAATTGGCACATAAGTATACCAAGACTCATAATCCAGTTCATATATTTAAGATTTTGGTGTGATTTCAATAAACAGTGGGAAATATTTAGAAAAAAACTCTGACCTCCACTGTTACCAACAGTAGAGCTACAGTCTCATCAGAGATTTCTGGTTTTAATATATTTTTTTAAAAAGCATGAGATTGTAGCCCATATATTCTTACAAGGTTTAGTATTAGGCTGTAGAATGACCTTAGATCACCTGTTATATTTATTGTCAGCATATAAGGCAATTTATTTGCTGGCATGTCATGACTTCTTTGACTCCACATAAATTCTTTTTAATAACACAGATTAAAGATATTCGAGGACTGAATGTCCCATAACATAAATTGTTATGTGTGATATATATTTTGTATTTTTTATACCATTTTTTTTTTCTGAGTTTTGTTTTTAAGTTGTCCATTTTCTATATGAAGTTTTGGTCTTCTGTAATATCTTTGTCTTAAAAGGTACCCTGAAAATATGTAGTAGATTTCAAGAAAAAAATTAAAGGAAACTCAGTCTGAAGTAAAGCATAAAAGTCTAGTCAATGAAATCGGTTGTAAAAGTGTTGCATAAATTGTTGTTTAATTTTATGTTTTTTGTCATCTTAGATCAGTTGAAAAAAAAGTAACTGTTGTATTCCATTAGAAACAGAAATAATATTTCCTAGACATTGCCATGTTTATCTAAATGCATTCTGTCAAGAACACTGATATTTCACTATTTACATTATACAGCATTGTCAAATTGTATAGTCACATATTTACAGAAAATGTATGTGTCGTTTTTGACAAATTTTGCTTCGCAAGCCATGCATTGTTTGCATTCAGCTTATGAAATACATTTCTTTTGGAAAATCATAGAGGGATTATGAAACTTAAATTATTCATCACATACCGATATGTAATTTTAAAATTATCATGGTCACATTTTTGTGTACTCTTGTTTGGTCTTTTGTATGTTATATGAGCTTGTAGTTTGACATCAGGTTAATGTTTACTTAATGATTTAGCCAAAAAAAAAAATGTTCAGTTTGAGCAGCAGAACATTGCTTATTTCTTTTTGAATCTTGATAAATGACAATTTGAAAAAATTAAGATACTGCATACCTTCAAAAAAAAATATTTTTTTACTTACAAACCTTTCATTTTTAAGTAAACCATAACCATTCCTCCTTTCATTTTTTTTTCAAAACTTTTTATTACATTAATACATATCTTGTACATGTATAACTTTTGTTAATATTGCATTAAATTTTATAAACATGATTTTTTGGACTACTGTATGCAGTTTCATTTTTCTTGTGATTTTTTTTTTCAATTTCTGAACAAACTTTGTAATTTCTCCATTTTAAAGTTGTGGGATTCTATCTGTCTTATTATTGGTTTTCAATTACATATATATATATATATATATATATATATATATATATATATATATATATATATATATATATATATATATATATATATTTCACTACATTGGTTTTTTACTGTTTGATTCTTTGGTGAAAATAGAGAATATAAAATTTGCAGTGAAAATTAGTCTGTATACAGTATCTCAACCCCAGACTTAAACATTGTAGTTGTTTTTGTGTTTAATAAAAGATGTTACACGAAATATCTGTTTTATGTCATCAGTAGTGTGAAAATGAAAAAGTCTTCGAAGAGCAAGAGCCACGTAGGGCCTTTTTGGCCCTCAGAATTTCTGAAATATCGAAACTGCTCAGTTTTGGTTGAGAATGCAGTATTTATAACTTGAACACTTGGTGACCGTGTATCTATTGGACATGACGTAATTTTCTCTCTAGTCAATGCATTATGACGTCATAAAATGCGTCATTTTTCCCATACCCTAAAATCCCTTAAAAATGGCCAAAAGTTCAGGTATTTTTTCAATATTTCATATAGAGCACAACCTCTGATCCAAAATATGCAATTACATAATGAAAGATCTGTTTCTGAAGATCACAAAATATGTTTTAATTTTTGGATCGTGGGCTGTGCTCATATTTTAATTCTTTGCTGAAGGTAGTCAAATTCGCATGTTTTCTGCAAAATTCAAGAACATTACATTTTCCCAAAGCTTCTTTTCCAATACCTGGATTCTCAAAAAGAAATTTTGTTATAGGAAATGAAAGCACAAAGTCTCTACTTTATTTTGATATATGAAATGGGACAGAGGGTGATAGTCAATTAATTGATATAAGGACAGGGCCATTTTATGCATAAAGTGAACCTAGCTCTTTGATTTGGTGTTAGTATACACCACCATGTTGGCAGGTACCAGAATGGTTTAAAACAATGTCATATTGTGCAGTTATTAAATTATTAGGGCTGGGATGATATATCAAAATATCCATAATATTGATTTTGTGTGATGATGATACAGGTATTGATTGATATAGCAAATACAAATTTCAGAATTTTTTCTTTGAAACTATGGCACGTGAAATTGATTACATCAGATAAATCTATGTCATTGAACCATGACTTTTGAATAACTTGCTGATAATGAGATTACATCAACTGAACTGAAAGTCTCTATGTTGGTACTTAATATTTCCAGACATAAATAACCATAAATTTAAATTATTTATGTGTCTGATTCCCTGGTAAATAATTTCTCTTCAAACATTGGACTATAAATGTTGGTTTTACTAAAATTATTAACCAGTAAGAGCAAAAACATAACAAAACAAAAACACAAACAAAAGAAGATTGTTGATTATTGAAAGTATGAAAAAGCGCTTATTTAAAGCCTACGAAAAGAGGTAACGGGATGTTTCGCACCTAAGCATGGTTCGCGCTACGATGTTTCGCACCGATTCCGTTTCGCGCTGAGATGGTTCGCCCCACATTGTTGTACAAATATGTGCTAGCCTACTGAAGTTCGTTTAACAAAATTTTTAGATTTTAAACATGTTATATGGTGTAAATTTTGATATTTTTTGAAACATTTTTTTTAATTCAAGAAGATTATATTTGTAGCAGAGACATAATTATTTATGTCTGTGTTTGAAGTATACATAGCATATAATTATGTATGTATAATTATGTATTATTTTAACACCATGCTAATTATAATACCGCCATCTAATTAAGTAATTATTGCTGGTTTGACTACCAACACGTCCATTAATAAATTCTCACCTTTCGATCTACAACTAATTACAATTAAATCCTCATGGAATATTTGATGAACACGATCCGTAATCTTTGGCAGTGCATACATATTATTAAGTCATGCATTTGAACACACAACATCTATATATGTATATCTTATAATTGATAAACAATTTTTTTAAAATGGATAAAAATGTCATTGAATATTTAAAATAAATCATGAGATGTTTCGCACCTAAATCGGCGCGAATCATCCAGGCGCGAACCATCTCAGTGCGAAACAGAATCGGCGCGAAACATCCCGGATTCCGAAAAGACTTGGTACGACCTAATGCAGTAAAAGCGCCATCTACTGGCACAATTCGTCACCGAAAATACCGGCGTGGGAAAAACGTTTCTATAATAATTTGTGAGTGAGGAAGAATATACGTATGTACAATCAGATGGGTTTATATCATCGGAAGTAAAATTGAATTGACAATACATGATATTCAAAGTTTTATATAGCTTTTGTTTTTTTAACTGCTCTCATTTGCCGATTACCGAAATTGGACAATTCAAGATGAAGTCCAAGGATGGTTTATATTGATTTTACATGATTTTATATGTTATTGAAAATAGATTCTTCACATGAATGAGCAGAATTGTTACAAACATCGCAAAAGATTGAATTATCAGTTTTCTTTACTTTCAGTGAAAATGGATGCAAGACCAAACCAAACAATTTACATAAACAATCTGAATGAAAAGGTGAAAAAGGATGGTAAGTAATTATTTTGTTTAAAATGCATATTATCTTATAATGAGATCATCTTGCTAAAGTGCAAACATCATTCTTTACTCTTAAGAAAGGGAGAAAGTTAATGTCTTCTGTTCTTGCACGGTGGTCTCTTAGAGCACACCACAGGCCTCTGAATTTCTATTAATAAGCCGTTATATGATTGATCAGAGTGATATATATACCCCCTCTATATATAAATACACCAGGTATGCAACGACTTTTTAACCCCCTCGCCGATTCGGAGCCGAATTTTTGGGGAAAACGAAAGTGTCTAACCTTTAGCGTGCAGAACTGTACCCAAAATTGATTTTTCTTAAATTCCATCGCTTCAAAAGTTTCAAATGCATCGAAATATAGACGCAATCAACCATTATTTTCCGCTTTTCAAAAAATTCTGCTGCTGGCCACCACCATGCACTGACATCACGTAAACAACGGCTCTGCACTAAATAAATCACACCAAAATTAAAAGCAATTATTTTTCTACTGCAAGAACATTTAGCAAAACAAATAAAAAAAATCAAAGGAAATAGTTTTGTTAAATGTTATTGTGGTAAGAAAATGATTGCCTCTAATTTACTATGATTTGTTCAGTGCAGAGCCGTTGTTTACGTGACATCAGCGCATGGCAGTGGCCAGTAGCAGAATTTTTTGAAAAGCGGAAAATAATGGTTGATTGTGTCTATATTTCGATGCATTTGAAACTTTTGAAGTGATGGAATTTAAGAAAAATCAATTTTGGGCACAGTTCTGCACGCTAAAGGTTAGACACTTTCGTTTTCCCCAAAAATTTGGCTCCGAATCGGCGAGGGGGTTAAAAAGTCGTTGCATACCTGGTGTATTTATATATAGAGGGGGTATATATATCACTCTGATCAATCATATAACAGCTTATTGATAAAAATTCAGAGGTCTGTGAGCACTCTTCCCAAGCAGGCCTGCACTTGCACAGCTCGCTGATCTTGCTAAAATATACTGCAATTTTTTTGCCTTTAATTAAAGCTTTTGAATGTTTTCTATTTAAAAAAAAAGAAGGAATTATACATTAAATGGGTAAATACAACAGCTTTGAAGAATATAATTATAAACAGTTATGTTGTTCACATATAATTTCCATCAGTCTGTAGCTTTATGTTTATGTTGGTTTTTTTTTTCATTTCTTTCCAGAACTCAAGAAGTCCCTGTATGCCATATTTTCTCAGTTTGGACAGATCCTCGACATTGTGGCAATGAAAACTTTGAAGATGAGAGGACAAGCTTTTGTAATATTTAAGGATGTTAACAGTGCCAACAGTGCACTGCGATCAATGCAGGGTTTCCCATTCTATGAAAAACCAATGGTATCATATTTTGTTAAGTTTTTTTTGTGATGGTAAATATGATCTTGTATAGTATTAAAGAAACCTTTACAATAATTTGTTATGCAAGTTAACTGGAAATTACCTATTTGATTTCAAAAAGATATTTTTATTGTATATTTTATTGCAATAACTAATGAAATAGTTTGTCAAAAATGACAAGATGGCATGTTTCCACTGTCATGGCTTGACTTGTGTGTGTGGTACAGGCCTTGACTGAGGAACTTGCCCTCTGATCATTGTATCACCCTACACCAGGTAACAAGAGGGCTGTATAATTTAAAGATTTATGTAATTTATATTTATTAGCAATATCATAAAAATTACTAAAATGTAATATGATTTTTTGAAAGTGGATTTAAGAAATCAGTTTAAAATGATGGATTTTTTTTCTCTGAGTAATTCTTTCTCCTTTTCAACCTTTTAGAGAATACAATATGCAAAGAAAGATTCTGACATAATTGCCAAAATGAAAGGAACATTTGTGGAAAGACCCAAGAGGCCAAAGGAACATGAACCCGAGAGTAAAAAGAAGAAGAAAGCAAACCGGTAAGGATGTTTAACACACCAATATGAAATATGTTATACTCTTGCACTGTGCTCTAACCAACACATGTATACTGGACACACTGTAATAATTCATTATTATACAGTAAAACATGTCTAATCCAGACACCACTGGTTCCAAAGAAAATGGCTGGATTAGACAACATTCCAGATTATATAACATTTTAAGCACTTGAATTAGCTGAAAGGGACTTAAATTTTCAATTGTATTAGACAAGATTTCTGAATACACAACATCCAGATTAGACAAATTTCACTGTAATTTGATTCTTAATTTCAATATCAAGAATCTTCCCATGACTGAAGGTTTTTGTTCAGCCCACTATGTGACTTGTACCGTAATTTTTGGAAGATAGGACGATACTTTTTTTTTCTTAGAACCGCTAGGGTTGTCCTATTTAACGAATCGTCCTACCTAAGGCTCAAGTTTACGAAAAATGCCCCCAAATCAGTAAAATTTACGTCTATTTTAATGCAAATCTGTAACCATTTTCGTATTTTTTAAAATTATTTTACCGAGAAAAAAAAAACAATATAGAATTAAATATTTATTCCATTGATTTCTTACAAAATAAGTTCCATTAAATATCCGTCGATGTACAAAAAAACTTATAATATCATCTAGTAAATAGTGTCTTAAAGTATATTTACAACATGCTGTGTCCATCTTATGAAGTTGGAAGTCGCAATCATTTACTAAAAGTAAAACCGCAACTGTATCAACATTTAAAATACGGAAGAGTTTTTCACATTCGCAATTGTAATCTTTTTTTACCATTTATTTGTAACGATCAATTGAATTAGTAAACCTAAATATTTTTTCATTGTCTTGTGACATTTATTTAAATGTAAAATGCGTGAAATAAATTGTTGCCAGTAAATTCCTAAAATTATTTACCAAATATACTGCTAGTCATAACTATTTTGTTTTATATCCCAAGGGGTACACTGAATTATACAAAGATTGGCTTCTAATAGAATTTTTATTGTCTGACAGAAAAAGGGATATAAACTGTGTACACAAAGGTGTTAACACCGATGTTGGTTTAAGCACTTGCGGGGCATGATTAACAGATCCACGTGCCGTTACAGGGGTATTAGTGCTATACATCATCGAACAAACAAAACTGAAATTCATGATGACTGTTAAATTGCGAATGAATTTATTTTTTACAACAATATCTCAAGCAAAATTATAGCATGTTAATATGATTAATTTCAATTGCTCATTGTTACATGTAATAGTTAATTGCGTGTTTTAGCAAATCCCTGGACAAGAAATATAAAAATGGCGGTCATCGAAGTTAATATTGTACCCCGGTAAATAATGTCTGAATAAAAGAATGTGTCCACCATGTTCTAAAATGGAAATAATTACTATTCGATTTTGGGTATTTCCCTAATTATAGTTGTTGTACACTACCATATTTATGTGTTTAACGACAGAGTCAAACCACGACGGCATTGAATAGGCAAGTTGGAGAAAATACGCTATATCACAATTCAAGGAAGTTTTAACTATGTTTGTTTATAACACTATTAAAATGCTGTACTCATAAAAATACCAGTTTATTTTATCAATACGTTATTATCACGGGTTAAGTTAAAGACGTTTACAGGTTCTGATGCATAGTATCTACGTAAGAATCTCCAGAAAATCGATAAACAAAGCCTTGTACTATCTTCCGAGTTCGTCCTTATAAGGATTTTTTAAAAATTTACGGCTGAAAATGAGCCTTTCGACCTATATACCCCATCGACATATACCCCAAAAATTATGGTACATGCCTGATGTCATTTTTGATTTCTTAATGATGTCATTAATTATATAATTTCAGACAAGCTGCTGCAGCTGCTGCTGCCTCTAATGCAGTATTGCCTCCACCAGCACAACCTTGTGAGTAGACTTACTGTAGTAAAACAAAAAGGAAAAAAAGCATTAGTGGTAGACATGCATCACTGTTAAAATGAGTCATATTTATGAAGTTTTCTTCATCAAATAAAAAGATGTATTTCTAAATTAAAAATACAATTAAAATCAAATTAATTATTGAAGCTGAAAATATTCTTGAACAGATACAAATACAAGGCAAGAAAATATATAAAGACTGGCCTTTAAACATTGTTTAGGTATAAATATTTCCATTTCTATTTGTTTTCTCTGTGATAACTCTTTGAAAGTTAGGAGAGTTGATTTCTTGATCATTCTAACGGAATGCAAATTTTGCCAAGCGAAAGGTCATGAGCTAAGAAGGCATAATATGCATGTAATTCTCGTGCGGCTGTCTTTGTGTTTGACGTCAGTGGGCGGGGACTATTGAAATTGACATGTGAGGCCTCGTGTAATTTAAATCTATTAGTCTACATTTTTAAAATCTAAATTTACAATTTTATTTCAAAATGAAATGGAAATCTAAGGAATCACTGTCTAGTTAGTAAAGTATGCCAGGCACATCAACGATAGTTGGAAACGTGGGATAATTTATGCATAATGGGCTTCGCCCGTTATGCAAATTATTCCTTAAGTAGCTCTACTGATTACACCACTCAATCTCATATTCACTGATGATTAAGATGTGTTTTTTTTTCTCTCTCAGGATTTGTTTTACGGTTAGTTACATAATAATGTCTGGTTTTGTATGTTTCAGCCCCAGCAGCAGCCCCTCCCAGCCAGCCTGCAGCCCCCACTGCTATCCCAGAACAACCACCCAATCAAATTCTCTTCCTCACCAACTTGCCAGAGGAGACTAATGAAATGATGTTATCCATGTTGTTTAACCAGTAAGTAACTTGTTTTGAAGCATAGAAAGTGAAAACTTTCTTAATGCTGTCTTTACTGTCAGAAATTAAAAAAAAGTTCAGTTGTGTATTTGAGAATATTAATGAATTTTCATTATACATGTAATAAAATAAGTACCGGGTACATATTCATTATTAAACATTAATTAGTGTTGACTCAAGAGATATAACTTGGCTATGAGTGCTATCTTGACATTTTATACATGTATTTTAATTTAATCTAGGTTTCCTGGATTTAAGGAAGTTCGTCTTGTGCCTGGTCGCCATGACATTGCATTTGTTGAATTTGAGAATGAAGTCCAGTCAGGTGCAGCGAAGGACGCCCTTCAAGGATTCAAGATCACTCCAAGCAATGCCATGAAGATCTCTTATGCCAAAAAGTAGAACTGTTGTCATCATTATACAAATACCATTAGAGAAAAACATCACTTCTTTCAATCATGAAATAATTTCATTAACAATCATTTCATTGTCTTGTCCATTTTTAATGATATTTGTTGCTGGCATTGCACACTGTCAGATTTGTGCACTTCAGGAGTTTCATTTTATTGGGACTCTTGTCCAACATTGCACCTCAGTTGATTCATTCTTGACATTGCACTCCTGTCAGAATGAAAATAATCAACATTGCACTGAGGTTGGTCCTATTGTTGAATATGAAGACTGTATGTGAATAAAAAAATTTACAGGAAAACTTGAACAAGTTTTTTTTCTGAATACACATGTAGCATTAGATGGCTAAGTAGTTGAACAGCATTGCTTAGTGGATTGATAGTGCATTGAAGGAATTGATTTAATTTCATACATGTTCTGTAGACTTTTGAATAGAGCTAGACATTCTCTATGAAAGTGTTAGATACTGCCATAGCATGCCCACGATTTCCATGGCCTCTCCTTTAACTTTTGAAATTTTTTTTACCGTAATTTGACATCATTTATCAAAGAAACTTTTTTTTTAAGTATTGGTTGATGAATAAATTTGGTTCTTTTGTTTCAAAGCATATGTATTTGGAATCGTAGTCCTCTTACAAATGATGAAAATTTTGTACACGAGAGTTGATAAAAATATGAAAAAGATCCATTGAGGTGAGATGCGAATTCGAGGTATTCAAAGAAGTTTCTTGCATTCTGTTAAAGGAGTTTAAAATGGTCTTTTCCTTGCATTTTAATACTTTGATTTTAACACAATTGCAGTTGGGTAGAAAAGAAATGTAAAAGTATGAATTGGAAAAGAGCAACTGAGGTTTGAAATTTCGAAAAAAATAAATGCTTCTGAACCCAGTTTGACAGGAACTGTACCTTGATCAGTCTCATTTTGAGATTACTAGACAAGGGTCTACATGTACAATGAAAGAATTGTGCCTGTATTTCCCATCTTTTGAAAAAGCTTGAGAACACTTGGTACAAGCTATCTTCCCCTCCACAATGCTCACTGCTCCATTGGCAATATTTGAAATTTTAAATACTTTCTGCTTTCTAAACTGGTTTTTAATCGTCTTTAAAAAATTGAAACACTAGAAAAAGTGATATTGGCATATTAAGTTTTTCCCAAAAGGATTATATAGGAAACATCATCCTCTGGTATCTTGCACAAATGCCTGGTAAGATACCTCAATTTTTTGCAAGTAAACATATTAAAGTAGCAATACTTCAATGACAAAATCTTTGAAAAAATTATATATTATTTAGGAACATATCATCTGTCCTTATCTAACACAAGTCATGAATCATGGTATAGCAAGTGAAATGCTGATCTCTGGTCTTTTGACCATCAGTTATTCCTTAATGGGGAACATTTTTGTGATAGTAAATATCCCAGTGCTAGTGATTCTAGGACATTCAATGCACTGAACTGGGTTTTTCATTTGATAAAATCAATGTTCTAGTCAATATACATGTACAATGTTATTCCTTCACACACTGTTTAATCTGTACAATCCAATGCAAGGTGGGTTTGTAATGCAAAGTACAGTGAACTTTGGTATCTTCAACATTGATCAACTCGAATACCATGTACATGTATAATTATATTGAAAGTTGGGAGTCCCTGCCACTTTTTGTTTAACATTAATATCTTGGTTAAAGTTTTAACTATATTTGCCAGTACAATTGTCACAACGTTTTGTCGTGTCATTTTTGGCATGGTACAATTTTCTTTAGATGACTTCTCAACAAACTGAAGGGTCAAAAGAGATTGCAATGGCCAGCAGGAGCATATCTTGAATCATGGGAAAACAGTTTTCAAAGTGGCATATATTCAATGCCAAGTGTTTTGAATCAATTCATATACTGTTACATAAGTAAATCCAAATTTATTTAGGCATTTTGAATTTGATGAATAAGATCCATTTTCAGTGGTGTTCACATACCGTCAGTACATGAATCTACGTATATTTATCATTATTAAAATGCTGTAGTTAAAACTAATAACAGAACATGGCTAAAACATGCTGAATGTTTAATACTTGTACAACAAGATGATGATGAATAAAGATGGAACAAATTCAATCAATTTTTGTATTGTAACAGTGGTGCTTTAATGTTAAGATGTCATCCAAAGATATGCTATGTCTGGCAAGTGTTTGAAGAACACTGTGATATTTTTTCATTTCACATGCCCAGCACTGTAAATAATGCACAGGTTTTATTTTTTGTTGTAAGTTGCTCCCATCTGCAGACCTCTAGCCAAAACTGTAGATATCATCATAATTAAGACACAGAAGATGTTCAATACATTGTACTATTTTAATACATAAATATTTCTAATAGAATGTACAGCTGTCAACATGTTTTAAATCAGATGAAAAAATATCAATTGAGTAAACATTAACGGATGACATCTTACAGATTTAAACTGTATTGCGACAGATTTTTTTTTCTTTCTGGCAATAATGTATATCAGTTTAGTATCGACAAAAATTGAAAATTTAAGCTTCCAGTCTATCAAACTACATTTCCTTTAACCCATCATATTACTAACAAAAGAAAGTGAAGTTTGTACCAGAATTTGTGGTACAAATAACAATCAAAATGCCACTTCATTTTACCCAGAATAAAATAACCACTGAATAAATAGCACTATAGAAATATAACAAATTGATATTTACAAGTCACATTGTTTTGTTTTTGTGTTGATGTGAGGACAACAGAAGGCTTAGAGAAGTTATTCTGGGTAAAACTGGATCACAAACTATCTAAGGACCTGAGAAGAGTCATCTTGCTGTATAACTTTCCTACAGCAGTCCAGTGCCTACAGCTTCAAGTTTACTTCCTCATTTCTACCTTTTAATTAAATGACATGTCCTGTTTCATCATCAGATTTCAGACTCTGTCAGATTATTTACAAAATACCCTGATGGATTGAAATGGTATAAAAAATGACATTCACTGCTTTAAATACTTAAAAAAAATTGCAGTATTCAATCAATTCCAGTCTGTATTTATCATCTTTAAGGAAGCAAGACTGTGCATTTTTTAAAAGTATTTCAAGAGCAGTGCATTACATTCTAATTTCTGTATTTTAAACAGATAGTTGTTTTTTTCTGTCATTGAATATTTTTTATAGGTATTCAATTTTGAGAAATTCAGTACGAGAGAAATCTGAATTGATCACGAACATGTCATGTTCCTTTCAAAGAACATACACTTAAGTCTACATATTCCACAACCCCCTTTAACTAAAACAGACATAAAATGGAATATATATATGTAATAATCCAATAATTCAATACTCATAGTATTAACACTGAATGATTTCATATCAACACTTAACATCTTAAAAAGGCCACAATTTTGCTTTATCTTTCTGCTCTCAGTGCTGTACCTGAGTAGTGAAATTTGCAACCCAACTGAAAAATCATTTACAGCAAATTATATTACAGAAGAAAAAAAAACCGGTTCAGATGACAGGTGCTCTTGATCATGCTGCACATCACAATATGATAACATTCATCTGAGATATGTGTATACTGATGTTTGCATCATTAGAAATTTGTACCGGGTTGTGCAGCTTTTAGTACAACTTATTGCCTTGAGGACTTCAGAGACCTGAAGTACACCAGTTATTTAGCATGCACAAATAAACTTCTGAATAAAAGTACAGGGGTACCATTATGTACATGTATGTGCCAGTAAATGATTTTTCAAGTGATATAAATACTTGTTGATAACAACTTTAGAACTCTCCTTGCTGGTCTTGTTTCATAAAATTTTTAACATTTATAATTTAACAGCTGACCTTTCATAGCTCAGCCAATAACAGGAAAAAAAAAAGATGTTAACAATCTGGCAGAAATAAGTTAAACATACATAAACCTTCTCTAACAAGGAGCAAACAATATCAACTAAAACAATACAATCTTTGGTGCACCAATACATAATTCAAATTTCTCCTATGTATATCCATAATTCAGAGGGTGTGTTTTTATGACCACATTATTAATTAACCATACAACATAACATGTGCACAAAATGTGCAGAACAAAGAACATACTTAAACTTTTTATCATAAATATCCATACACCACACTACGCAAATCACAACTATAACACTAGTTGTCAAAAAACACCCAACATTGTTCTTTACGATGAGAGAAAATCTGCTATCCTTTCCTTATCGTTCAGCCTCACAAGGGAGGTCACTGAGACAAAGGAAATGTGCTTTATTCGATTTTTTTTTTTTTTTACAATGAATATTCTGTGTGTGATCTTCCTTTGTCTAGTTTTTTTCCTTATCTTATATGATTAATGGATTGAATTATTTGTTTGTCCTTAGGACCAGTCATATGATATAAATAATACAAAATCACATGTTGAAATAATCTTATATTAATATGTAACAGTTTGTGAAAGACTAGGTTCTCCTTGTTTCAGTCCTTATTCACTGGATACTGTATCCGAGTTTTTACATAGAGAAGCTGCTTATTTTCTGGTCTGCCTCTTCCAGTCACAACACTCAGTCTGACAAAGTTCTGGTGATAGCCCACCTTGGTAAATAAATAAACTGGTCACTTTCACAATGTTTAGCTTTCATGATGCATGTCCCCTGATCCGCTTAAAGCACATTTCCTTTCCCGTTTTGTAGCAGCCTACTGGCTTTCTTCACCCCCTCCTCCTCCTGCACCTCCCCCACCAGGACTAGTTTTACTGGCTGATGAACTGTCACAGAACTCACAAAGCATGTCTCGAAACCTGCCCCACGACCTCTCTGGAATGGTAACTGCAGTCCGGTAATTAGCTCGAACCTGACAACAAAAAATGTCAAAATTATGAACGTGACTTTTAAAGACTTTGGGGGGGGGGGGGGGGGATTTATTGGATCATGAAAATTTGCACTTGAAATATTCCTGTACTACTTTATAACATAACTACAGTTGAACTTTGGTATCTTGAACATCGAGCAAAATCGATAGATATTCAGATTTTTCATAATCTTAATAGCAAATTGTCTGCAATTACAAAAAAAAATTGAATGCTATGGTAATTTTCTGCAAATTTCAACACAAAAACTTGGTGTATTATGAGCCAGACTTGGTCCAGAAGAAAGAAGATATTCTCCAGACAGGATTTTACAAAGAAACTTTTTAACCTTGACCTTTTACATAGAAACTTGGCACAAGGTCACTGCAAATCCATTATCTATTGGCACTCTGTGGTAGTTGTCTGAGCCAGATTGGATAAAGGGGAGAGAAAATGTACTCTAGACAAGATATACTGGATAGAGAGGCTGACCACCATAGATCTCTCTCTCTCTCTCTCCTTCCATTACTACACCAACTCAGTCACTAATGTATTGTTTAAGAGTGTTTAATTTTTCTAATTTTTTCTGATGTCAGACTCCTTGAAAACAGCTTTAGCTGCATGAAAATAATGAACAAATACTGGGTACAAATACAGTAATAAAAAAGAATCTCAGGAAAAAAAGTGAATAACTAGAGGTACTTTGAGCATTATGCTCACAAAACACCCCCCCCCCCTCCCCATATGATATAATCATGATAATATCATGTTAATGGAAAGAGCATTTCTTGGCAGTATGTAAATGAAATTCTGTGAAAATTCCATTGAATTTCATTCAGGGGTTTAGGAGAAGTTGCATAAACAAAATGGGTACCCCCTTTATTGAGTATAAAAGCAAAGTCCATGTACATGTATTGCTATGGGGAACCCCAAATATGTGTTATATCAAAACGTAAAATAGGAGATGCACAATGCTAGTATGTAATAAAGATTTCCTGAAAGTTTCATTAAATTGCATTCAGTGGTGTAAGAGGTGTTGTGGATAAGGGATAGGTACCCCCAAATGTATCAGATGGACGGACAGACTTACGGACAGATGGAAGAACGGACGGATGGACAACCCCATCACTATATACATCCCACTTTTCAAGCAGAGGTGTATAATTAATAGGGCTGTGCAATAATATTGATATTCTGGTATATTGTGATTCGTTGAAAAAACATATCGTACTGCAATACATTTTTTCAGAATCTGTATACCAGCAAAATGCTTGGGGCTGGGATTTCTAGAGTAAAATATGAAATTTAAGATATCAGAAATGTTTTCAATCATGCCAAATGGTAAGGGCACTGTTGTATGGTTGAATTTTGTTGCAAAATTGAAGTAAAATCAACAAGAACTTTTTTGTTGCAACGTATTTATAACAGTTTTATACACTCTGCTTATAAATGCAGATTAATAAAATAAGAAAGGATCATTTTAACTGTTAATGAAAATATTGCAATATATAGCAATACAGTAAAAAATATCACAGTATATTGCAATACGAAATTACCAGCCGATACCCGACCCTAATAATTAATGATTTTCTAAGTTTACGAGCAATAACATTTTGTGAAGATGAAACTCAATTCATAAATATAAAGAACATATGCCAAATATCAGCTCATTACCTCATAGAATAGCAAAAAAAATTTGGAAAACAGTGAATTTAATATTTATAGAAATCTTGCAAGTCTAAGGACAATAACTTTTGAGAAAATGGATCAAATGACTCTCAAATTTGATCCAGAAATCATCAGTATCAAGATAAATATCTAAAATTAGCTCATTATCTACAAGCCCAGGGAAAAAAGTCTGGAAAACAGTGAATTACTAAAAATCTTCAGTCTAAGGGCAATAACTTTCATGAAAATGGGACAATCAATATGGAACTCAAACTTGTTCTGAAAGTCATCTATAAAATGATTCATACCAAAAATCAGCGCAGCTCATGATCTACAAGCACAGCCAAAAAAAAAACAGTCTGCAAAGATAACCATGACAGAATGATGGAATGACAATGGACTAGTGATGGGAAATCGGAAAAAAATCATAATCAATTATCGGTAATAATCGGCTGCACATAATCGATTAATAATTGATTATAATCAAATTTTTAACTTAAATAAAATAAATATAAAAATAGTTAAAACTTATTCCGATTTAAGTTCAGACTTTTACAAAAAAAAATCATTTAATTAAATATATTCATAAATATTTATTATTTTTTTTCTTTTAATAAAGTGAAAAATAAGAATTTTTTTTTTTTTACTAATGAAAAAATCTCAATAAAAATACTGAATAGGAATTTACTTTAAAAAAAATCTCATTAAATATATTGAATGGGAATATTAGTGAAATTAGTCCCACCTTGCATTACATGTAATTATTTCTTGGAATAACAAGTTTAACAAGATGTGTTTGTGAAACACTGATGCCCCCATATGGCAACTTATAGCAAAGGTTAAACTTTCTCAAATGCAAATCAAATATGTTGGTACCCAAAGTAAGGTCTTGTCTCGAGGAATATACCTGTGAAATATGAAAGCCCTAGCAGCAACCACAGGTACTTGTGGACAGGACATGTCATGATATCTTGTTTCGGTACATATTTTTGTCTTTAATCGTGCTATTTAATTGCCCAGGCATTCCATCCGAGTTTTCATCGTCAAACATGAAAAATGCTACAAGATTTGGAAATGTCAAAGTAGAAATTACGGAAGTGATGCAAAAACGACACCTAGCGTGTAACTCTCGAGTTCCGAGTGTTATAGAACTAAGGGAAAAGTCAGAGGTCTACGAAAAAGTTCGGGAAAATTTTGATAAAGAAGTCGAAATTGATTCATTAGAATTAAAATTCTGCTTAAGATTTTCGAGATGAGCGAGGGTAGTCGTCAATATTCCCTTTAAAGGATGTTATCACTGCTACCAAATAGCGGTTTAAAAATCGCTTAAACATTTATTTACAACTTACAAGACATGTAACCCCATCTTCCTCTTCTACATGGACATGCTTGCAATTAATTCTGATAATATTAAGCTTAATAATTATGTGTATTTTTTTAATATCCTTATGCGATGATTATCATTTGCCAAGGAATTTAAGTGTGAGTCTTTTCAATATTAATTCTTAAGAATGAAAATCAGAACCCCATTTTTTTAAAAATAATTTTCATGCTCTTCTTTACTTTCGCGTCGCACTGCTGAGTTTATTTCTGGCTTTGATTACATATATGTCAAGCTGCTATTATTTTAATTGAACAAACGGAAGCTTAACTTCTATAAAATAAAGACTTTTAAAAAATACCGCGCGTATGATTTTTTAGTAAAACGTTAATTCAAAGTCCAGGTCAAATGGTCAAAATTAATGGTGCCCAAGGGAAGGCCTTCTCACAAGAAATACACTGGTGAAATATGAAAGCCGAAGCACCAAACGTTCAAAAGTTATGACCAAGGTTAAAGTTTTCCACAAGTAGGTCAAACTCCTAGGTCAAGGTCAAAAGGTCAAAGTTGTTGGTATCCAAAGAAAAGACTATTCACAAGGATTACACATGTGAAGTATGAAAGCCTTAGCACCAATTGTTAAAAAGTTATGGCCAAGGTTAAAGTTTGGTAAAATTTTGCAAAACTGGGTGAAATTCCAAGGTCAAGGTCAAAAGGTCAAATATAATGGTATCCAAAGAAAGGTCTTGTCACAAGCAATACAAATGTGAAATATGAAAGCCATAACTCCAACCAATCAAAAGTTATGGGCAAGGTTAAAGTTTTTGCAGACAAACAGACAGACAGACGGACGGACAGGGCAAAAACTATATACCCCCGAATCTTCGATATTGGGGCATAAAAAGTAGTTATCCAGAATTTGGACTTGTATTCCTGATTATAATTATGTTTTCAGATCGTCTGTACTGTCAATTTCTTACTGTATGTAGTAAAACCTTGTAATATTTTCCATTTTCTGTTATAAGTCTGATCCTATACTCAAACATGGCAGTAAAAAATATCAACATGGCATGGATACCTTCGATATTTTAAACATTCATCACTACTTTAAAACTCTTTGCACATGGACTTGGTAATAAAATTAAAGCATTACAATATTATTTTTTGTCAGCGATATCGGCGACGTTTATTTTGTAATGGATTAGTAGCATCAAAGAGCTCCTAACGACCGACAATCGATCGTCAGCGACAATCAGCCCATCACTACAATGGACTGACAAAATGATGGATAGAAAGGAATAACACTATATGCCTGCCCATTTTATGGCTGGGGCATGAAAAAATCACCAGTACACTACTTACTTCAGAAATTCTGAGGTAAACACCACGTCTGTTTGATCCAACATCAAAATAGAATACTTTGTTTTCTACTCTTAAGTATTTACTCTCTGGTAATTCATTCTGTCCCTCTGGAAAAAAAAATTGTGCAGTCAACAATGTTGCACGTTCCATGTGGTTGATAAAGGACAAGATAAGTTATGACCCCTTTTCGGCCCCTGATTTGGGATGTCTTTTAGAATGATGCAACAGTTTATAAATTTAAACTTGTTGTCACCCCTGCCACAAAATGAACATTGGTTCTAAGTTATGGGATACACAGATGTCACAGAGAGCTCAGGAAGTATTCAATTTCCGAATTTTCTCATTTTTATGCAAATTTTCATCGATTTTACAATACATTTTGTGTCAGAAAACATAGAGCACAAGCTTGCCTATCTACCAATATTTTATATATCATACACTAGTATCAGATGCATTTTATGTATAAAAATCTCAGATAGGCAAGCTTGTGCTCTATGTTTCCCAAAGAAAACAGCATCTCAAATATGACGAAATTCCTTCAGAATTGAGAAAATATGGGAAAATGTCCTACTTCTGCACCCTCTTGTGCCCTCCTTGTAAGCTATGAATCAAAATTAGTACTGGTTTTAAAACAAGCATCATTTAAAGTTCTAAACTTCAAACTATCACAGTATTAACTCTGTTCTGATTTTTACTTCAAATAAGGGGCCAGATTCGGTAGTTACCATACCTTGTCCTTTATCTGTTGAAAGAATGTTACAGAGTCTGACACAAATCTCATGAGACATAAGATACTGTGGAATCATTTCAATTAGTGGGGATCAATGTTTTGGGCATTCAAAATATTACTGGTTCTTTGGTACGTGTACAGAAAATATGCAAAGTTATCATTCGTGAGGATGTAAATTCGTGACCCATGAAATCCACAAACACTGGTCCTCTACGAACAATGATGATTCCACAGTATGCTTGATGAACATACACAAATTATCCCACACTGAACAAAAATATTACTCTACATAAAAGGGAGAAAAATTGTGAAATATTTACCAGTATCTGACTCACCATGGTCATCTGTCCCAAACTCATCCAGAAGATCAGTAAGGGCATCTCGAAACTCAATCATTCCCTGAGCAGGAATAGCAATTTGAGAGCGGGGACCACCACGGGGTCTCGTCTGGGCAACCTAATTTAAAAAAGTGCACTGGAAATTTATAGACCAGATTCTTCTTATTATTTAGTATACACACTTTAATTGAATGTCATAAGTACATAGATTTTTTGTATTTGTTCAAAGCTTTCAAATTGCAATGACAGTGATTATGAACTCATGTGCATGAAAAGCAGTAAATGATTAAGGATAGTGAATAAGATCTTTTTTTTTTTTTTTTCTTACCTTGTATACAATATATACATCACTGATCAACCAGATATGTATTCAAATTTTTACAATGCAAGAATCAAGATTTTAAAAAAAAAAAAAAAAAAGATGACTATTCTATCATAATTATCATTTTCACAATAACATTATTTTAACAATAAAAACATTAACTGATTAATATTTAACCAACACAATAAATGTACATCTCTATTTATTTAGTATTTATAAGTACTTATAAGTATTTATAAGTGAAGCATGAAAATGAAAAATGAGGGGTGATACGTACCGTACTTACCCTCAGAAACCGTCCCCTCTGGTTTTCTTTTAGGTCAAGATAGTAACGTCGGTTTTCTTTCACCATCTGCTCACTTTTTAATTTTCCATCCTCTGGCAAATTATCAGGGTTTGGAGGGCCTGCTCAAAAAATAAAAATTAAAGTGTGAGCTAATTTAGCCAGTTTCTTTGTAGCCACATTTATATGATTTCACAGTTTGTATGTGCGTATTTTGAGTGAGACTATTTAATAAAAGAATTTGTAAGCTTTTCTAGCAATTTTAAGCTTATTATGGGTATTTTTACTTCATCTTTTTTCATAACAATATTTTTTTTCCTCAGAAAATAATGAACTTAAAGTACACTGCTATGAAATTCCACTGATATTTTGTGACTGCAAACTTTACATAAATATGTACCATATGGAAAACCTACATTCAATAGTATTCATCAACATAATGGCCTAAAATTGACTCAAAAGTTTCAGATGAACTTAAAATATGTACAGGTTTATACATGATTATAACAATAGGTCATCTGAGTGAATCAGATAGCCTTACAAAATGCAACAAGAACCAAAACCACAGAAAAATTCCTATTGTTCTATTTGTTCAAAAAAAAAAATAAAATTTAGAAGTCTATTTTACACATGAAAGTGTTTTAAGAGAAACATTTACGCCAGCTACTCTTATGATAAATAAGAGAAGCTAATTCAAGAATTTCAAGTTAAAATTACCAAGTGATGCATAATGTTCACTAAACTCTGTCAGATAGTCTCTGAATTCTGCTGCTGTAGACATAGCCAGAAGGAGACGACTCTTCTTTCCTCCTGCTCCAACCTGAAACGAGAAATTCCTCCGATGAAAGTATGTTTTGACAGAATTACAATGCATACCAAAATTGCCCCTTCAGCAATGGAATAGCAAAAGCCATAACTGAACAAACCTGGGGATTCAATGAAAAAAATTCTATCAAACCCCTTCAATATCTGTGCGTCAAAATCATGACCTGAGCAGAAATTTTCTTCTTTGATCTCATTGTACCCGGTACTCCTCAATAACAATTTTAACCACCAAATGATCTTAGTTCATGCCTATGACACATCTTCTAGTCAATAGGCAACTTTCTTCTAAAAGAACATTTTCCAAAAATTGCCAAAATGAAATTCTCCACTTTACAGAGTTTAAGCCCAGAATTAGCAATTTTACTATGCCTGTTGTCTAATATTTTCCCAAAGACATGGAAGGATTCCGAGTTTGTGACAAATTTTTTGATCAAAAAAGTATATTCTTTGTGTTCATTATGTGCAACTCCCAACTGTATCCAGGGTTTCGGGTTAGAGGGGACGCTATTAAATGGGAAGGGGACTGGGTACCACAGAGGTTCTCAGTGGGTCAAGGAAAGTGTCCTGTTGGGAGCAAAGCCCTGCATAAGTTCCTGAGAGTCTGTCAGTCAGTCATTACATAAAATATTTATTTTCTGGCTTTAGAGGGTGTCTGTGCTGGGGGTGCACCTGGTATCTACAAAATCAAGACATGTCAAGAAATTTTATTCTATGAATACCCTGCAGAAAAGTGCATATCAAGGACACTTTTTATGTCCATTAAGAAAACAGGTAATTATAGATTACTTTAAAACCATGATAGTACCTTATTCCTAAAGATGAGAAACTTGCAAGGTTTGATGATTCTAGGTCACACACTGTGCAATTTATGATAGGGACACAACTGAATGATGCTACAACAACTGATTTAGGGCTTTTAACACAAGTTCCTTCCAAATGCATCGAATGACATGGTTTGTGAACAATGACCTTCACTGCTTTACTGGTCCATAGGACTCATAATAATTCACTGACTGCAAAAGTGAAGTACAATGGTGGATGAATTTACAGTCCTTGTTAGCAGCTATATATCTATAAACAACTGTTCTACTGAGTTATACCTATGGTAATGGTACATGTATTGCATTTGCATATCACATCCAATACACTAATATTGGTTTTATTTTAGCACCTTATGCATAAATTTTACAACTTCACCAAAAATCAATAGAAACTTGAAGCTTCTGTCACGATTAATGACTCTAATCCTCACACTTCAATGTTCAACTCTGGGTAAAATCATCTTCTTTTTGAAAAATAAAGAAAATCCCCATTTTAACACCCACTTGGCCAAAGAAAGATCTTATTAGGTAGTGCAGATCTTATAAAGATAGCAAAGATTTATGTAAGATTTGCCACTGTGTAATAGGTACTAAAGAATAGTTCAAAAAGCTGTATCCTGATGCTTCAGCTGTAAACTATCAACATATAAGGACATGTATCTGAAAAATGATTGGCTGAATGTATTCACCAATCAACGTATTTACAAGTTTGGTCATTGTGTTTGTTAGCAGTTGGGGATGAACCTCATTCAGAAATTTTAATGCGATTGCTGGAAAATACAGGTCACATGCAGCAACTGAAGCCTCATAATTGATAGGCATCCCCAGTTTGGACAACGTGGACAATACAGAATTCACTGTAAGACATACAGTCAAACCTTCTTATCTCGAATTCGATGGGACCAAGAAAAACCCTTGAGATATCTGAGGATTTGAGATTTCGAGGGTAAAATACTTAAAGAATGAGTGGTTGCAACTTCCAAATCACTTCGACATATCCATGGTACTAATATTCGAGATATCAGTGTTTGAGATACCTAAGTCCAACTGTATATCAAATTGAAAAATGACCTGCTCTAGCTAAAACCTGATCATTCAATGAATACAGTTCAAATGTAGCATCTGATGCAAATGTTACCTTGTGCATCCTTCCTGGTATTATCCATACATCTTTGACAAAAACAATAGAACTGTAGGTACTTGAAAATGGAAGTACAGTACCCTCAAACCTTTTTTCAGTTTTTGCCTGTTATTACAGAAAAAGATGCAAGAAAACTTTTTAAGAACATCTTTTTAATCCAAAATATGAAGAATATTTTCTGTACCAACATGCATCCCAGGATTTAGACTATTCAAGGTAGGACCTATAGTCACTTAGGAATGGACCTACTCCCAAAAACTTTTACGTCACCACTCATACAGCAATAGGTCTCATGTAGCATCTGAAGCATGACTGATAGTATGCATCCCAACTTCCAGTGTTCGAAATTCAGAATTATTTTCTGAACCAGAAACCAAAGGACCCAGAGACAAAGGGTCTACTTGAGTCCTTCCAAGGCAGCTTATGTAGGTCCAGTGTAATAAGAAGCATGGGAGAGGTTAAAAAGATAAGTGGGTATGTGAACTGAAAATGAGTGCCAAAAAGTAATGCAACGTCATAACGACGTTGGTAACATTCTTGCCATGTGGTGATACGCAAAACCTAACATTGTGTTTATCTTAATATTTTAAAAAGTATTTCATATAATCAAATGAAATTTTAAGCCAAAATTCTAAATAGATATGGGTATTAGTACGTCATATTTTGTTGATAACATTCAATTATTAAAGATTTTATAGCAGCTGTGACATTACTTTAGGATAAACCCTCGTAGTTACATGGGATTGGACCTGCTTCAGATTACTCATCCAGAAAATATATATGTCACATGCAATTGATAATTCTTAATTGATAATATATCCTGTATAAATTTGTGAGTAAAATATGGTGGTGAAACTTTTGGATTTTTCTTGCACACAAATAAAAGTTGCTTTTTACTGTATATGAAGTACCTATTGAATTGTGTCAAATGAAAATTTTCTCAAGTTCAGGGCACTTACACAGTCTGTACTCATTAACTCAAATGTTTGGAGTTGGTCAAAATTTATATGGTTGTAAAATTTCTGCAAAAACTAATAAATCAAGAAATGTCTCCTCTTGAAAAGGGATATGGTTCTTCATCTGAATCAACATGAATCCTCTTCACCCAAGATGCTTTGTGGCAGGTTTGGTTGAAATTGGGCAAGTGATTCTATATAGAAGAAGTTGAAAAATGTGAAAATATTACAAAGAGGCAGTCACCAGACATTCTTCTTTCAGGAAAAACTCACTTGAGCCTTTGTCTTTGACTGTCTAAATAATGTTGAGTTAATAGAATTCCAGTATGAATACTGAATCTAAATTGTACATTTCAAATTACATTGCCAAACTTTGGTTTCATATCCATCTCTAGATGCATGAAACCATTTGGATTGTCTATTCTTTAAAAAGGTGATCATTTTGAAGACTAGTCTTGACTTCTGTAGCAGTTAACTATCTACAGTGGAAACCTGTGAACATTTTGTCTCTTTGATTATACTGGACATCAGGTGTTTATGTAAGTGGGAGGGCAAATTCACAGGGACACTTTCCAAAGATTCCAGAAGATAATAGAAATTAGTATGCTAAAATTTCATATTTAAACATTCAAATTATAAATGATACTTAAAATCAATTTCATGATAAATTCAATTCATAAATGATAAGTCATATTTAAACATTCAATTTATATACTTATTTTTACAGTAAAAATCAAACATCTATTCTTGATTTGCTATTAAATAAAACATCCACTTTGCTATAATGTCAGTAGTGGGGACACTGATGCCTTGTTAACTTCCTTTTCGAAATTCCCAGAAAATGACAAATCCAGTCCACTACACGTTTTGTTTTGTTCATTCTTTGCCTTAAGGATTGAGTCTTGTCTTCATTTCAATAAAATCTGAGTAATTAAGCATCAACCAATATCAACTGTATCATTTGATATAGATGATAATATACATGTAGATGGAATAAAATTGGGAATCAATCTTGTTTTAAAATCTCACAATACTCTTTGCTGCTAACAAATACAGTAAAAAATATAACAGACTACAGTGACATTTTTTTAATCCTGTATAAAATTTTTAATCAGTGATAAATGAATTTCAACTTAGTTATAAGTTGGAAATAAAAGGTTTAGATATTTATTTCTATTTGGTACAATCCTGTTAGCCATTTCACAAATTTGGTAAAGGCAAAAAGCTTACTGCCATCTTGCATTACCAGTAACTTTTACTTTTCAAGGAAACAGATTAATATAAGTTGTAACAACTTGTTTCCGAATCCTGTATGTCATTATTTATTGTGTACATTTGATGACTTATTTAAATGAAATAAAGTTTAAACTAACTTTACTTGATGAAAGTCAAGGTACATGATAAAATAAATTTCAATAAATGAGCAACTGAGCCCCATCCTGGGGCTTGAATTCCAGACACAGGGGGACTTTACAATTTTTGTAGAGGGTTAAGTGTTTATTTTAATCATGCGTAAAGGTTTTCTGTTGGATGACCATGAGAAGAGGACAAGATTTTCAAGATGTACTGTACTGTAGATTCTTAAACATGAGCAAATAATTAAATATCGATTAATTTTTTAAAAGAACTATTCATGAAATTAAACTTCATGTTTTTTATTACTGAGCACTGAAATACATGTAAAAATTCTTGATCAACAACCAACTCTTGAATTCATGTTCTCGTGAAATGACATCAACATGTCACTTCACAATATAAATTCCTCATGTAAAGTGAGGAATCTACAGATGTCAATTTATGACCAACTAAGCCCAATCCTGAAGAACCTGAACCCTGGACCTGAATTTTACTACAGTCAAACCTCATTATCTTGAACTTGAGGGGACCAAGATTAAACTTCAAAATATATGAGGATTCAATATAACAAGGGTAAAACACATGAACTAAAGTAAGTGGTAGGGACAGCCATTTCACTTAGACATATCCCTAGTATTCGAAAATCGGTGTTTGAGACAATGATGTGTAACTGTATTTTAGTATCACTTTTAGTTGGGTACTCAATGTAATCAAGTAGTTTGCCTGAATGTTAACTGATCTTCTTGAGCAGAAAAGATTTTCAAATGAATGATATGTTTTTAAAACTTGGGCCATGAATTTTATAATAAGGGTACAGCTTTTTGTAATTATGAAAAAAAGTTTTCTGCTAGAATCCAGGATAATAAGATTCTTGAAGACTGCACGAAGTGTGATGGCATTGGCCCCATGGGGTTCAATTGAAAATTTTCATAATTTTGGTTTCCTTTTGGTCTACAGATGCTACATGTTATGTATATACCTAAATGGACTGAAATTGGTCTAGCCACTTCAGGAAAAAAAGATGAAAATGTTCAGAAGTTTATGAATGAATCCTGAAAATGGACAAGAACAGATAGCAATAGGTCACCTGAGTAACTCAAATGGCCTATTAAAAACACAGCTATTTTTTTATTGATCAAAAATACAGGTGATTCAAATATCCTTAATAATTTTACACCTCTTTTGTGATAGAAGTTTAGAAAATTGTGGTGACCTTGAAATAACCTTGGAAAAAATTAAAGGCTGATCATTTTCATGTTTCACCAAACATATTCTTGATGTGTGAATTTGAGAATCTTGGAAATACAAGAAGCAATATAACACACAAGACTCTTTCCTTAAAGGTTCCGTAATTAAAATATATTATTCTATTTCGTCACTTTATGTATTGAAAAATTTAGTTTCACATTTCATAAAACTGATCGATTGTTAACAGGAAAGTGATTATGAAGGACGAAAATTAAATCATTTTAATTCATTTAAATCACAATAAATCATTTAGATGTTTTTCTTGCACTTTTCAACTTTAAATGTTATTATGAATGAGAAAATAAATGGAAAACATTAACTGCTGTCTGTCAGACATGAGAAAACCCTTGTTACAAAATAGGGATGCACGATTTTATCGATATACCGATATATCCTGATTTTTTTATTGTGTGATACATATCATGATATGCAGACTAAAATACCAGTATTTACAATGTAATTATAAATTCAGGAAATGATTAATTTTTTGTTCAAACTTTTGAATTACAATCACTAGGACTGTAAAAAAATGTTGTAAAACAGAGAATTGAAAAAAGTGAATGTGTTTTCAAAATATTTTTTTTTTTTTAAATTATGGAAATTCATTTAAAATCTTACTAATAATTGCATGTTAAAATATCATGATATTATCATATTTTGGGGAAAAATCGTGATATACTGCGATACAAAATTTTTGGCGATACCCATCTCTTAATAATTATAAAACATATTTCAACTGAATCCACTTCTGCATACAAGAAAAAGATACTAGAGACATATTTCACTGTACCATTGAAAAATTTTAAAACATTGCAATGACAAAGTACTTCAAATGTGCTCAAGAGAACAAACCTCAGCAATTTTGATGAAGCGACCTCTCCTATTTTGCTTGACATCCAGATAAAAGCGCTTGGACTGTATCTGGAGTGTCCTTGTAGCCAGCTCCTGTTCCCCTGACCCTAAAACACAATATGTAATTAGACAAGTTTTAATAACATGTATTAAACAAAACACTTCCAATACCAATGTTGTATAAGCAAGGTGTCATATATATATTGGAGATTTGTATCCATTCTATCATAAAAGTCTAATGAATCATTATATTTTAAGGACAAATTATTTTAATATCCATCTTGTAGTACTTGTCTCCCTGTCATTAAAAAAGATACTTCTCATTCTAACTTTAAACATTTGTAAAACCAACCTCTAAAAGTTTGGTGGTCTATCAGTAATACAATAATTATTTAAGATGTGCAATTTGCTCAATGTTTAGTGAACATTATTGGTCAAACATCAAACCTAATCTTTGATAACTGAAATCCCCAACTTTTACCCTGAAGTCAAATACAAACTATCTGATCAAATCGTATTGGAAATTAAAATTTCAATATGAAACATGCAATCTCTTGAATATCGATGCTTATCCAAAAAAAAAAATATATCAATACATTGATTCAGTCCTACAAATATGACACATATTGAAAGCAGGTGTGCAAATAAGTTTGCAATCGTTGTGAAAATTGTGTTTATTATTATCAGCACACAGTTAAATAAATAATCATATTGAACAACAAGTCAACAAGGTAAAAAATAATAGTAACAAACTATATAGAGAATATGATTCAGCGTTAGGCACTGACCAATGAAACCATAAGTCATTGAATTCTTTAGCGTTTCCCCTTTACAGAGGTGTTTACCTGATTCTGCAATTTTCAGTAAGTAATTCTAATGATTTCTCTCCGCAATTTGGGCTTTCTGTAAGTAATTTCATGTTTGCAATACCTTGAATTTAGTTTTTAATGTGCATTTGATAGCTATAAGACATGCTTTTTTTGTTATGTTATTAATATCCATTTTGTCAGTGTGTACTATACCAGCTAGAACACAAATGCAATCCCAATATAAAACTGTGTCTTTAAGGTCTTCAAGTGAATCTCTTATTATTGCTAAAGCATTAAACTACATAAGAAAAAAATATCCATCTTTTGATAAACATTTCCTGTGCTAAAAACAACTTTTTCTAACTCTATTTTTAAAGAAGGGGGGATGAAGGGGTATACCAGGTGAATTATGTAGTATGTAGCCAAGTTTAGAAAAAATAAAATTCAGATAAATATGTTTTCTGAAAATAAATAAACCAATACGCTTCGACACTGGAATTAATTCTGTCACTTGTATTTAATCTGCGTGGGTGCTCACGTTTGCTGACAGCTTGTGTATGTAACAACTAACAAGTCCTTGATTTAGGTTTCAAAATTATAAGCAGACGTTCACTTCCTTCTGTCATTGAGGTCACGCATACTTTCGCCGGTTTGTCCATACCGTGAGGTCCACTTGCAAGTAATTGCGGAAAAGACTAAGTAAAAGACCCCCTTTGCTGCATTAAACACAATATAATTACCCAAGTTTGTGCTCGTGTTTAAAATGTCATAATAATCCAAAACGTCAAGGTACGCCATGTTGGATTTTCCCGTACAAGTGGCGAACTTTCTGATTCAGCATATTATATGTTGTTAAACGATAAATAAAATGTAGTATAATAAATGCAAGAGCCCAACAATAGAGTCCCTAAAAAGATTAAAAAATACCAAATATGGCATGGTTTTTCTCTAAAACATGGAAGTTGACAGGGAAATGCACTTTAACGTGCAAGCGGCAGTTTCTTCATTTCCTCAAGGATCATGAGAGAAATAAAGTCATTGGCAACTACACAACAGCGAAAATAAGCATAAAATAAAATAGTAAGATTGTAATAAGTACCCTGAGCCTGCTGCTCGTCACCACTCTCACGATCCGACATGGTGCAACCCTTCCTGTACAGCCAAAGCCTCCTTCCAATCCCTTATGAATTATTCATGAGGTCAAATCGTAATACACATCAAAAACGGAAGTAAGACCTTTGTCGTTATAGATATATACAGAAAATATTACTCGTTATGAATGTTGCTTCATTAATAACAATAAAAAAAAAAACACTTATCAAGAAAAAAATTCTAATTTTGGGAAATTAATGTTTCGATAACAATCTGATCTAATTTTACGACTAGTCGTAAGTTTGTCAGCGCGGGATCTTTCGAATACTTTTGCAGGAGTAAAAACTCGGTAGGTAATTTTTTGCTTTTGATATTTCAACCAGTATGTCATTTTTTTCTTTAGTAAATGTGAGCATCCCTTTGTTGTTGTGGATGTCCAGAGTGTTAACTTTTTGTTACATTTTTTTAAATCCGGGATTTTTTCAGTGCTTGACCATACTGCAACAAAAAGGGGTTGTAGGAGGGGGGGGGGGGCAGCTAGCATCTACATGAAAACGATTTTAATTTACACATTAAAACTAGAGCAAAAGATTATACCAAGAAAAACTGAACCCCTGCCACCACCACCCACCACCCCCCTGTTAAAAACTTCATATAGAAATATATGTCCATATATATGCCCAATTAAGTTACATTTGTAGGCCTATATAGAGCAACAGTAATAAATCCCATCCAAAACACCAAACAGTTACACTCAGACGGTATTAAATGCAACATTTTTTAATTAGTAGTCATCAGTAAACTGCATATTTAATATATTTAGAACCACCTGAAAACTTTGAAAGAAATTCCAAAAATTATTTGAAAGTCTCTTGTAGATTGAATCATTCGAGTAAATCAAAATGAAGGAATAAAACCTTTTTCACGACAGTGCTATATAGAGGTTAAAAATAATTACACTGTTTCATATTGTGAAATCTTTGATCTCCCTTTTGAGAACAAAAACACGCATCTCCGTGTCTTGTAGAATCATATGAAAATCATAGCTAAAGTTGGGCCATGTTATTGTTATGAATTTTAAAAGAGTTTCTTTTAAGATATTGAAGAGACATACTGGAGATATTATCTAACATGTTCATTGAAAGTCTCCCCCCCCCCCCCCCATACACACACACACTTTTTGTTGCGGTATAACCGTATAGGTAAATCAAGGGAATGTGCTAATGTATAAATTTATGAAGGTTGATAGTAAATAAAGGTAAAGTGCTAATGTAATTATAAATTTTGATTGTGAAATAAAGTTTGAAAAATACTTTTTACAACTCTCTTGTGATACTAGTATCATCATTATGATCGTTTATACCGACAAAGACCATAATCCATGGCTTTTTGATCCACAGATTAGAAAGTTCTTCCTTCCTTTTTGACTCAAGATTGATACATAAATGTATCATTTGGGTACTTAGATACTTTTAAAAGCTTGAAATGGCACCTTTTTTATATTATGAGTACGTTACTCGTTACCTGTCGCTGATTTTGACCTTTTGACACCTGATGTCCTTTTAACATGGCGGAGATTGGCAGATCAAAAGATGATCTTTATCCTATGAATACACCACTGTTGATATCGAACTCACATGTGTACGCACTTTGAAGCTAGTTTACTTACCACACTGAAACTTTCATAAAATGCATGATTCATGATGTATATAGTAAAATAGATATAAGAAATACATGCTTTTTTTTTTTTTTTTTTTTTTTTTTGCGAGTAAAAGCAATGTATCTATAGTCAGATAAGAAGCATTTTTAAAAAAAATTATTTTCATTAACTTATGTCAGAGAAACAGTCTAACTAATGTGTCGTAAACTTTTTATATGTGTCTTAGGTCGATGGTCATTCATTAAAATGATTTAATTGTATCTTATAATAAACAACAGAAAAAAATCAAGACATTGGAGCATACGGCTAAAAGAGTTGGAAAATGTCCTCTAACACATCAGGCCAAAGTATCAAGTTTAGTGTGGAGTTCCGAGACACAGTTTACAGATTAAACCCGGACTATTTGTCTTGTAAGCACAAAGTCTTGTTCGAAGTCAACGCAACAGATACCCTCAGGGACCAAGGCAGCGAAATTCACTTCTATCACTCTACCGACTTTGCGGATGGCAGGAAATCATTATCGGATATCACCAAGTCCGAAAGTCCCTCCAAGACTGTGTCAAATATTGAGGAAGCTTTCTCTGATACTGCAATAAGAACTTTCCACAGTAAATACCTTTCAAACGACCGCAAGGTGTGCTGCATTTTTTTCTTCTCTTGTATTTTGTACCATATGATAATTGTCATTTCCAAAGAAAACAAGAAAATTTTTACATGGCAACAATGTTTCTTTAACTTTACATGAAGTCCTTTTCTTGCTTCAGGGGCTTAGAGGCTGGGAAGTTTGTTTAAGACCACATTCCGCACAGTCTTACCATTTTCGAAGACAGAGGTCGGATCATACAAGAGATCTTCAGCGAAGCAGAAGTCTTTCCGCCAAAATAAATACGACCAGACGTGAAAAGCTTAAAGTCTCCAAAATTTCCATCCATTCCCCTGGATCATGCAGTAGTCGTCCTATCCATCGAGATTCCATAGAAAGCACTAGCAAAAAAGACGACAGACACACACATTCTTCATCCTCCAGTTTGATGGGCGGGAACTACTATTGTACGCCGGGTTATGTTACGACTATTCCAAAGCCTATTTCGTACAAGTTTAAACACTTTGAGTACACCGATAACTACATCGAACAATACAGGTAAGAAATATTAGGATATTAACTAGTAAACTATCAAAAGCACAAACATATCAAAGTCCTTGAGCAAGTTGGTAATATATTTTGGGAAAAATACATGTACAGCGTATTTGTTTTGTTGATAAGGCTGCAATCGTCTAATGAAAATTATTATTGTTTTTTCAAGTTACATATATTTGTCGAATTTCAATATGTTCAAAAACGTGAACTATGACCAGGATGCAAATGCAGTGAAAAATTAAAAATGTTTCAAGTATAAAAGTATACAGGTATGATCTACAAGCTTATAAGTTGGCTTTTATTGTAAATGCAGGAATGAATACACATATCCACGCCTTGTGGAACCCACTAAGCCACCCTCATCAGGATCTTGTAATTGCGAAGTTAAAGGCCAGGTCAATCCAGGCAAACAGCCTGTGTTTCGATGGGTGGAGCCATGCCTAGTGAAGACATGTTCTAGACACCAACAGGAGGGCCATAGTTCTAGTGGACTCACCATCAATAGCATTAGTACATCCAGTCAGGTAAAAATAAGACAGGGCGGTCATGCACATGTACAGCGTAAATCTAAGGGAAAGTTCCACAACATTTAATGAAGGAGAAATGGTACTGGTATCCGATTTACAAAGTTAGAGTACAGTGCAATAATATTTGATGTTACACTTCAAAAATTAATGACGTTCATAATCCAGAAGTGTTAAGTTTGTTTTTTAAAGTGCTCTCTCTTCCCAAGGAAGCACGACCTTATTCATCCCTAATAATTTGCTCCAGAAATGGAAAAGACTATTATTCCTTTATAGATTTGTCAAGTTGAAATGTCTTTTTTGTTTAATTTTGCCTCACAAGCTATAGTATAATTGTTTGTATTGTACTTATAAAATGCATTTCTTTTGGAAAATCATAAAAGTTCAAGCAACATTTTAAACAAGTGAGCAGAGGGTTTATGAACCTTAAAACTCTTCGTTTTAATTGTTTATGTCACCTGTGAATTATTGTTGTGGACCCCTTGCAGGGACCAGACCGCTCTCGACAGACACCTCACCATCTTCTTGATCATAACGGGGTTTTGAAAACGGAGTTCTACAATAACCCACTTGTAATAGACAACACCAAACTGGACCGGAACAAGACGTCATCTCTGAGCCGGAATAGACCGTGTATCTTGTCTACCGTCAGACCCGTCATCCACCCTAACTCCTCCGTGACCCTACCCGTCAAAAGACCCACGTATCAACCACAGTCCAACAAATAATGTGTATTTGTCAGAGACATAAATGACTTGTCGGTGTTTGTACAGTTTTTTTATTTAATTCATTGTAAAATGTTTTTAAAAATGATGGACTTTTAAGGTATTTGTAGGAATTCTTTTGAAAGCTAATAACGATTGCAATAAAGCATTTGACCCTCTTTGCAGAAGGTATTGTCTTCCCATAAATTTTTGTTAAAATAGAAAATTTGTTGAAATTATTCAGGGTAAAAAGTTTTTATCGTGGTGATATGAAATTCTGTTAAATTGCAAACAAGTCAGAGGTAACTTATTTGGTTGAACACCAGACAAGATCTTGAGTTATTTTATAATGTAAACCTCACTAGGCGAAATGGATAATCGTAGCGCGGTTGAACATCTGAAAAGATTTTTTTTTCGCTATTACATGTACATGTTCATACATAACCAATTAAACGAACAGTTAAGTTGTTTCAACTTCTTATTTATTGTTCAACAAAAGACAGATCTTTTTATAGGACAGTATATAACTACTACTAAGGTAATAGATGATATTTGTCAAGTTGCATTCACTAACACATCTACTTTTTACACTTATACAAAGGATTATACCGACATCAAAATGACTCATTTCTTAAGTGTCTGAATAGAGTACGTAAAGATTTAGGGAGAAAATTAACGAAATGATCACAATCGATTTGGAAATACAGTACTAGTATATTTTCACATTTCATAAACCCATTCATTAAATCAGTAATATCCGACATTTAAAAAAATATGCCAGGATTCATTCCATCTATGAAAGAAAAAATTTATTCTTTAGTCAATGGATGAAATTATGTAAACATTTTCTCGCTGCAGACACTCCTCAAACGTAGGATCACACGTACACGAATCGAAGGTTTTGATATACTTTCAAAGGTGAATTCTTTGAGAGAAAAAAATTGAGACAATGTAGATTACATGATTGCTGAAATTTCAAGAGGTATGTTATTTAAAGCCATTGGACCTTAGACTAAACAGTATATTAACATGCATAGATAGTAACATTTCTCTCAAAACAAAATTTAAAGGTGACATTGTTGGTCGGTTCTTTCTACATTCTCGGATTCGTTTTCTTGCGGAACAAAAATGTTGTCACTCTTTTCATCCAGAACATCGTCTTTTTCCTCTGAAGATGGTAGCGATGCTTTACATTTTTCATACGTGACGACGACACCCAATGTTTGTATGTAGTAATTGACCACTGATCGAAATCTGTCACTACAAAACATACAATATCAAAGAAGATGGGTGAACAAGGCGGGCGAAGTGCCTATAGTGCGACAAACATGAAGTGAAAAATAAAATCTCAATTATATAAAAATTTTCTTTGATATTTCATCTAACATTAAAGTATATTTTATGCTAAATCTCTACAATTTACAAAAATCTCACAAAGACTGAAATTATTTGCCTAAGAAATAGCATACACACACTAAAGAGGACAAAAAGGATCATTTTCTCATACTTTAACAAAATTTTTCGATATGAGTGGGTCTTCGCTCCATTTTTTTGAAAGTTGATCCTAAAAGTTTGCATAAAAATATACATTTTTTGGTTTACAAAAACATGGAGCAAAGACCCACTATACCTTAAAAGTACACTTTTATGACAAAGTATTCGCATCTTTCCGAGAAATACTTGAAGTCCATTAAGTCAAAGGTCATATCACAAACATGATTTAAATGCCACTTTTCGTCAGGAGCTGCGTGGCGTAGTGGTTAGCGTGTTAGTCTCAAAACAATATGATACCCCGGCTTTTTATTGATAGGGGTTCGAATCCCACGAATACCATTTTATTTTTTAAATAAAAGAATAATTTTTTCCGTGATTTTTTTTCTCAGAAAAGTTTTGTTGATCATAATTTCATAAATTTCAATAATGAGAACTTTATTTTAAATACTTAATTCACAAATTGAATATGATTTTATTAATATCTGAAGTTATAGGCATTCTGCACGCCTTGTTCACCCATCTTCTTTGTGAATCATTTTTTTTTTCATGAAATATGAAGATAACGAACAGTATTCAATCTCAAAAGTCCAATGAAACGATGCAAATTTGGAGCAGAGCAAACACGGACCTCAAAAGTTAGAGGTGGGATCAGGTGCCATGGAGGAGTGAGCATCCCTTGGCGACAGGTCACACCCGTCGTATGCTCCTTGTCACGGACCTTGTTTTTTAATAAACAGTGATGCAATGTAGCAAAATTAAGTATGATTAAGGCAAAATGCTTACAGAAACCATTCCAAAGCAAAAAGAAGGGAAGCGGCTTCGGCAGGGATGTTGAGGGCCGTCAGTAAAATGATGACGGTGATTAGACTGGCCCCCGTCACAGAAGGAACTGCCAGCGTTGAGAAGGTGGTCAAAATGCTGTAATAGATCATTCTTGCAGTAATCTTGCTTACATTCAGTTTGAAGTTTGAAGGAAAAAACCCCAACCCCATAATAAGCAAAGTAATCACATCTAAAATAAGCAAAGTATCTACCAAACTATGACAATTTTAGCAAAGTCCACTTCAACGTTGACCAGCTGTGCCACAAACAAGCAGGACACTGTAATGTACATGGAACTTCCACATCGGCCCAGGGCGGCGGAAAGAGGAACTACAAAACGGGTCACCCTTTTGTCTAGGCCATTCCCTTTCTCCAGACACTCAAAGGATTCAGGTATGGCGATGGCACTGAAAAAAAATACCCAGTATCTTGTTTTCATTTTTTATTCACACTCTGATAAGAAAGATAAATATCACCGAGATAAAATACAATGACAATTATTTCCTTATAGAACTGTCAACATGAAATGCCATTTCTATCAATTTTTTCCCCACAGGGTATGGTAAAATTGTGTGCATTTTTGTAATTTGGATTTCTTATGGAAAATAATTTGCGTCAGAGCATAATATCACATGAGAGAACAAAGGGTAGAGGAACCTTAACTTTAATTGACAACTCACGTGCTAGAGGTAGCAAACACTATCATGGTGGGTTGGAGAATAGAAAACCAGAATCTGAATGGGTTTTTCCGACACACGATAAAGTAAGTGATTGGTTGAATGATAAATCCACACAGAAGAAGTCCTGTCATCACTGTGCCGAAGTACACACCTAACTTCCGCAAGTCCTCCTCTAGATTCTGGGATCCAGCTATGGTCCTTGCCACTAAGCTCAGTACCCCAACAGGAGTGGACCTATACATGTTGTGTTATGATATAATTAGGAAAGTTTTCTTGTGAAAAACTCGGAAAAATCTTTATAAATAAAATTCACACAAGAATTTTTTAGCTTTGTTTAAAGACATAAAATACTAGAAAAAACTGACCAAATTAACCAGCGAAGAATCCTGAGGATGACCTCAGTGGCAGAGCTGAAGAACAGTTTAAAGGGAAGGCCTACGTCCTTCATATGACTGGTTGCGAGTCCGAACACCGCACTTACAATGACCAAACCTGTAGAAGTCAGGTATGTATACATATACTTAAACTTTAAAGTTAAATTGTCATTACGCAGCAGGTCCATAGAAAGCAATTCTGTTGGGGAGAGAGGGGAAAAGCAACCCAAGAGGAAATTTGGCCAAAAAAGGTCATTGGAGGCACGTCCGGAAATACTACTAAGCTTTTTTCAATTGTGTAGTATAAATATTGGCCAAGTTTTTAAAGGGGGCTTCTTTGTAAAATGTATACACTACCACAAAATCCCCCTCTCCCTCCATTCATTCGGGCCTGAATCAACAATTCTGTATTGTTTAGAATTTGAACTGTTTTGTATAAGTACCAATGAATAGCCAGAATGTCTTACCTAGTATGTTGGAGCTAGGTGCGGATCCAACACTCTTCGAGACTATCGTAATTGACACATTAGGATTTTTATTTGATGGAACCATTTCGTCATGATACTTGGTTTGTGCCTATTTTAAAAATAAAAAGATTAAAAGGAATCGAAGTTGCAGAAAGACAAGAACATGGGAACGGATCCAGGAGGGAAGGGTGTGGTGACCAGGCACCTCAAGAGCTACCAATTCAACCAGATAAGATTGTATGTTTAAACAAGATGTGTTTGTGAAACACTGATGCCCCCGTATGGCAACTTATAGCACAGGTTAAACTTTCTCAAATGCAAATCAAATATGTTGGTACCCAAAGTAAGGTCTTGTCTCTAGGAATAAACCTGTAAAATATGAAAGCCGTAGTAGCAATCATTAAATAGATATGGAAAAGATTAAAGTTTTTTCAAAAGTATGTCAAACATCAAGGTCAAGTAGTCAAAATTAATGGTGCCCGAGGAAAGGCCTATTCCCAAGAAATACACAGGTGAAATATGAAAGCCGAAGCACCAATCGTTCAAAAGTTATGGCCAAGGTTAAAATTTTTCAAAAGTAGGTCAAACGTCAAGGTCAAAAGGTCAAAGTTGTTGGTATCCAAAGGAAGGTCTTGTCACAAGGATTACAAATGTGAAGTATGAAAGCCCTAGCACCAACCGTTCAAAAGTTATGGCCAAGGTTAAAGTTTTTCAAAAGTAGGTCAAACTCCAAGGTCAAAGTTGTTGGTATCCAAAGGAAGGTCTTGTTACAAGAATTACACATGTGGAGTATGAAAGCCCTAGCACCAATTGTTCAAAAGTTATGGCCAAGGTTAAAGTTTGGTAAAATTTTGCAAAACTGGGTCAAACTCCAAGGTCAAGGTCAAAAGGTCAAATATGGTGGTACCCAAAGAAAGGTTTTGTCACAAGGAATAACATGTGAAATATGAAAGCCATAGCTCTAACCAATCAAAAGTTATGGGTAAGGTTATAGTTTTTGCGGACAAACAGACAGACGGACGGACAGGGCAAAAACTATATGCCCCCGAATCTTCGATACGGGGCATAAAAAAACTTACTTGTTCAAATGTTGCCGAAACCAAATTCGCAGGAACCAAATTTCTATAACGGAAATATGCATTAGAAAAGCAACATTAAATATCACTTTTTAAGGTTTAATTGACATAAGTATGTAAGCTTGTATAATAATACATTTTCTTTGAAAATATTGAGTCCTTAGAAAATATAGAAACAACCAACTAGAAGTCATGACATTATTAATCCAGTTCCTTCATAAAGTGTTTCAAATGTTTACCGTTCAAAATTATTCAAAAGTTGAACTATAGACAAGAAATCACATAACACATTCTTTAATTACATTTCATCCTGATTCGTTTCTTATTCAGTTCGTAAACATAGTTTTTAAAAATTACCTTAATAAATCTGCAAATATATCTTGTGTTTCCAGATTTGTGGTCAAATTATATTGGCTTTTTGCGTCTGCAACGCCCTCACCTGTTGGAGAATTAAAATTCGTTTTGCTAAAACTGAAAATCAAAATCAAATACCCAAAATTGAATACCATGTGTTGTTTTCTCCATCCATTGTCCAGGGCCTAGTATCGTTTCTAAAGTAAGCATTAAGTACAAAATCCATTAGAGATGTAATTTACAATAGTGGCTTTTGTGGACAAATTTTCTTCTACGAATGATACAAATGAAGCACTATAGAAAGCCACTTATGACATGTAATAGCATAAGTGGATGACTTCCCATCCATGAATGATATATTTTTTTATCATAAGAATAAAAACTTTAAAAGTATATCATTAGTGGATGACGCTGTTCTCCATATATAAAATAATATTTTCATCGTTAGTAGATGTATCATAAGTGGTTAACATGTCGGTTATTAATGAAACAATGATATAATTAATGGATACAAGGTCATTTGCTAATGCTGCATATATAATATCATAGTAGTGAGTTTTATATCATTTATGGTTATTAATTTATAAACCACTTATGCCACAAAGTTTGCTGACTGTACGCACTCTTTGATAAATCAAAAGGGATAGCATGCAATTACTTATGAAAAAAAATGAACAAATAAAATGAAACTAAAGGGTGAAAGATTAACCAATACCCCCTCCCCGCGTATCGCGGTTCCAGGAAAATTTTTCCCGGGGGGGGGGGGGATTCCATTGAAAAACTCTGCAAATTCTATAATGTAACAGCCCCCCCCCCCCCCCAATAAAAAATCCAAACCCAGAAATTTGTTGACAAGAACAAAAAAAAACTATAACTCCTTTCCCAAACCTAAAGACTTGTTCTGTGTGTGTGGGAGGGGGGGGGGTCCTTCGCTTCTTCAACCTCGTGTGTATGACTCTTCCTAGTAACTTAAGGGGGTCCGCGTTTTCTAGGGGATTCAAGGTCATTATTTTTAAATTTCATTTAATAACTCCGCAAATTCCGGAAAGGGGTCTGAAGGATTTTAATGATATAAATATTATGAAGCATTTGTGAGACACTGCATCAGTTTATACAAAGCAGGCGTCTGAGAAGAAGAGCAACATTGCATTATTTCTTATTATTTGAACTTTTATTAAGGTGATTTTCTTTATTGAACTGCTTTTTATTATTTTGTTTTCAAAATTTATTAAATTTGATACTTCAAGAAATCATATATCTTTTATCCCCAATACATTACGATCGATAGCTTCCCAATATCGCGGTACGTATTGCGATACATGATACATCTCATTACATCACGGTATATCGTTACACCCCTAAACCACAATATCGTAACACAATGCAAACATATCCACTAATGTACCGTATATCCGATTTTTTTTCGCGCGTTGCAAATTTGGCAAAAAATGTTAGATTTTTACATTTTTTTTTTATTTTTCGTAAGTTATTTTTTGCGATTTTAATTTTTTTTTAAGGGTAATGTTTTTTATGACATACAATAACAGGCATAATTTCTTTGTGTTTTATTTTTTGCAAATTAAACATGATCGCAAAAAAAATGCGAAAACTAGATCATCGTGAAAAAAAACCCCGGATATACGTATATAAATAAATCAATTTAAAATATGCAAGAAAAAAATCCCTCTTTGCCCTCTGTGTTAAATGCTAGGCAATATTTCTATATCGAAATCCACCGAATAATACCACTACGATGTTTACCTGGTTTGATGGCAACCACAAGGATACTTCCTATAATCGTGGGCATCATATTGGTGATCATTATGTAAAGGAAGCACACAGCGCTTACTTTGCCGTTGGATTTTGGATCCATAGAAGCTGTTCCTGTAATGTATGAAGCAAAAGGCCCATTGACCACAACGCGCACCTGTATCAGTATTTTTCCGAACGCTTTTTAAGGCAATTTCTAAAGAATTTCTCTTTGAGTTAATCATAATTTGGAAGATTTTTAACTTTGATTCTGAAGTCGCACATCATTGGAGAATTGTAGCCTTGTTGTTTTTGAAGAATATTCGTGTCATTCCTTTGCTATATACATGCATGTTAATTCGAAAAATTGCAGATTTGTTATTCTTCAGATTCTAAAAGAACTTTTAAATGATTTGGAGCCACATCGTGGCCGAATCTTCGCTACACAAGTATACTCGTAGAATTATCCTTCGTATTTGAAACAATATAATTCTTCTTAAATTATTTCTATACGACAATGATCACCCCATTCTCCATCTGTCTTGCTTGGCCCTTCATTTAACAAATGAAAAATTTTCTTAACTATAAAGGTAATGAAGAAAAAATAGGATGGGAGTGTATAAAAATATTTATTTTACACATTGCATAGATGAAATTTAAATTTTGATCAGAAAAGTTCAATGCAGCTTTTGTCTCAATGAGATCGTAAGCTATATATGGTCACTCGCTTCCTCCGTCGCCTTTAGAGCTAGAGTGACAGAACGAGGGAGCAACAGCGCAGGTGTGACTCCATTCTCATTACCTTACCCTCAGATCCTCACTATCTCGCCCTTGCAACATCCACGTGCTATTTTTAACTCCGATGCGCTGTCACCTTTTCTTGATCACTTTCCCCCTCGATCCCTTGTGTTGTCACCCTCCCTCCTTCACCTTATCATAGATCGTGAATGGCGAGTAGCCATTTAGATTCACCAAATAATCTAACAATAACAATATTTTTATCCACTGAAGTACATGTAGTTCATTAATTAATGTAAATACATCACCTGTTATCACAGAGGAAACAATAAGAGGTACAATCATAGATCTCAGCATCCGGAGATAGAGTTCTCCAGCCATTCCTACAGAAAATACATAAGATAAAAACAGTAGAACCAAGTAGACTTTTTTTTATTTCGTGTATTTCAAGAATTACCCCTCCCCCCGGGGGTGGGGGTGGGTGGTTGAGGTGGATTCACAAATAAACTAGTATATGAATTTAATAACTTCTTGGGCGGACCCCTTGACACCCCCTTCCCCATCCCCGGTTGGATCCACTACTGTATACACCCTGTCGATTTTTCATGGCGTTAAACTTATTGTGGATGTAAATGATTACATCAATATAAGCAGATATTCGCTTTAAGCGTCTTCTTTATAAACTTGTTTTATTGTACATTGACGGCACAGGGGGCGGTAACATATGTGTGTGATTCAAAGGGATCACGATTTAAATAGCAAATCACGTGTTACCGGCCTCTGTGATTCGCAGTTTAAAGCATTCTTCATGATGAGGTCAAAAGGCAAGCTAAAGGTCACTATGTCAGTTAAGGGGCCAGCGGAGGCTTGAATATAGTAGTATCTAAACACTTCACAACCTCAATGTGTCAGATATTTAGATATTTTTCTAATAAATTTCTCTATGGTTTGACACCCCACCCCCTCATTTTATTTTTAAACTAACTTTGCCACTGCCAGTATTTTTAATTTATTCATCTTTTCTAAAATGCCCTGAGACAGCAATATTATATATGTTTAATAGCAAATTTTTGCTTATTATTGTTCAAACGTGCAGACATATGGCAAACAAGGAATGGTTATCTTTGCAGACAACACGCACGTTATTCGAAACTTGACACAAGTTTTTATGTGCATAGAACAATTAAATATGCCTCGTTTTTAAAGTGATATATATAAATGTATTGTATTAATTCCCCTTTTCCCACCCATTAAAATAAATATCTACGGGTGGTTTTTTCCCCTTTTCAATAAGCTCAGATCAACATGACCTTATCTATATGATGAGGTCATGTTGATCTCTTATAGAATCACGTTTACTTTAATTTTTTTTAATAAGCCCGATTCAGGTGTTTTTTACCCAGAGCACGATTCGGGATTTTTTTTTCAAAACTTTGAATTGTATTTTTCCTTTTGCGTTAATAAGTTTTCATAACTGATATCAATAACATTAAAATGGGGGGGAAAAAAACAACAACAATAAATAAATGTAATTATACTTTTAGTGTGCATTCAAAAATTGAGAATCTTGTGTTTAGAAAATTGAATTTGTAAAAATAAACAAATCCCTTTTTTAGATAACGTATTGAAATACATGTATCACCGAAACGATGCTTCTATAAATTCATGCAAATAAGATTGTTTAAAAAAAGACCGAGTATACATACATGTCATATAAATGCACATAATTTTTAGGATAATCACCTATCCACATGAGAGCGTCAGATGACGGATTGAATTCTCGGGCCACAAATCCTGCACCAAAGCCAAGACTAACGCCAATCATGGTCAAGATCACCAGTAGGTTGGACTTCACTATACTTACACATTTCATCTTTGCTTCTGCCATGTTAAATACCGACCGACTCCAACCTTCTTATTTTAACGAGGTCGTCGTCTGCTTTAAGAAAACAAGAATCAGGGAGCGCTGAACTACTGAAAAAAATCCTCAGTGTTTTTACATGAATTCTTGAAACTATAAACATATATATACATGCAAGGCATGGAATTTGATATAAAGTTTATTTTATTGTGGTCCAGAAAACACACAATCTTCACGCAGAAAACACGCAATACTTCAATCAACAGAGAAATTGTATTCTTGAATTGACTTTAAAAAATTCTGCCCATGAAGTCCGACGTATTTGAGGGAAGACACCCATCTCAGATCTCAGGTACTGCATATCAATATCATTTTGTTGATATTAAACATATTCACTTAATATCACCAACCCCATCCCACTTTTTACCCTATGTAATTCAAATCCTTTAATAAACCATTTCCATTTTTAATTTTTTATTTTTTTTATTTATTTTTTTTTTTTTTTGTATTTGGAAGAGAATCACTTTAAAGATTGATCTTTTGTCTTAAACCAAGAACAAAAAGAAAATTATATACATGCTGAACCAATAAAAAAATTCTATCATTTTTATCTGTAATTCAAGACAGAAGTAAGGTTGGGCTATATGTTATTGAAAGTTATAAAATGACAACCCTGAAGTTTGAATGCAATACTAATCGAACATTACAATTACCGTTCTTGTAGAGTAGGCTTTCCCCTCTAACCCACCCCTCCCCCGAAAACTGACTCTAAAGTAGGACCCCCCCCCCGGAAAATAGGCTCTAGAGTAGGATTTTCCTGACGGAAAATGACTCTTCTAGAGTAGGAAGTCCAGTTTTCCGGAGGGGGGATCCTACTCTGTGTACTAGTTATAGAGTCCGATTTCCCTTAGAGACACATTCTCCTCCCAAAAATATCACGGCGGTATATGGAGGGGAGAAGGGGAGGGGCAGCACATTGTTACAAGTATCCCTTTCTTAAAATGGTGATCAGTTCCATTGAAACATACGATGTGTGAAAATTCAAAATTCTTTTTTCTCAGTAACTGTTCAAACAATTCTTTTGAAGAATTAAAATTTTATTCTTTTCATTTGGTCAAACTGGCTTCGGGAAAAAAAAAATGGTACAAATGTACAAAAAATCGAATTTGTCATTATACACAACAATGTGATCGGTTGGACAAATTTTTAACAGTATCTATGGAAACAAAAAGGAATGTTATTTTAAATGGATTTTTTCTCCGATTGTGTTTCAAACTACATGCGTGTACATAAAATTGATATGTAAGTGTCCCTCCAAGATTCTGGTGTTTAAATATCTAAAGTAGCTGCCGTTGCCATGGAACTAGAATTGGGTCATTTATTTTTAAAAATCTGAAAGAGGTATAGCGTACTTATTATACGACATGGCCTACATATAGCGCATTTACAAACATCCAAAATATTTCAATATTTATGATCTTTAGTAAATCTAGCTAGAAACAAATACAAGTTATACCAGTATCTGGCAAAAATACATGTAGTCATAAATATCTCAAACAATATCAATGAAATTTACAGAATTTGCATGGGATATATGGAGAACTATTGAGTGAGTATTAAAAAATACAGATTTATTTGAATATTACTTAAACCAGAGACATCTTGAAGGGTTTATGTTCTTTTGATATCGTAGTACACTGTTATATTAAAATCTATATTTAGTTTAACTTGTCTTCATATTAAAAAAATAATTTTATAACTTAGTTATCCCATTTCCTAAAAACTCTGACTCGGAGATATAAATACACAAAAAGACAACTAATATTTTAATAGTCTACGTAGCCTAGTGGTGTACGCCGAACTGTTTTTGTATTTGAGGTCTCCGGATCACCCCCCCCCCCCCAAATTCCACATTTTTTTCATTAATGATATTTAATATCCTTTTTTAACCTAAGCTAGTTAATTTTTAATCATCATATATTCCACATCAGAAATAAATATTTAAGGAATCACGGTCTAGTTAGTAGAGTATGCCAGGGCATCAACGATAGTTGGAAACGTGGGATAAGTTATATTTAGAGTACGAGTTTCCCACTGTATCGGAGATACAGGGCGGGGCTTAAGGCGAGAGCGATATCTCGAGCCGGGCCCTGCCCTGTATCTCCGATACAGTAGGAAACGAGTATTCTAAATGACTTGTGACATGACCTTTCTTTTGACCTCGCTAATTTACATGTGTATTTGGGTATATATCTCTCAACCAATCAGATGATTTTGCAGAAAGTTGATTTAGTACCCCATTTTTAGCAATCGCAACTGAAATGCCGAGTGAGGTGGACGTGCAGGTATCTATCAATTTATAAATAATTATAGTTATGAGATGCATTATATAATGTGTTTTCCCAAAATTTAATTTATGTTTGATTGCGTAGGTTTTTCCTTTCTATTTAGCTCTTGCTGACTTTTTTAAAAATCTAAGCTACGAATTTAGTGCAAAACAGAATCATATATGGGAATGTATTTGAAGCAAAAATGTTTAGGGGAGGTTGTATTCTAAGAGAAATGTCCGACAATGTCATCGACCGGTCTTCATACATGTGTATACAAAATTCTTGGCTCCAAATTGAAATAAACAGATGTAAGAAAGGGGGCATATTACCTTCATTTTTGAAACAAAACGTAGAGGAACCAAAGGCAGATCCAGCACTCACTTGCGCGCGTCGGTATACCCCCCTTTCGATTTTTTTTCTTTTTGGCTTTCGTAAATTATGCTTGCTAACTTGTATACACTTTTAATCGAAACGATCACGCACATATAGTGTCAGGCCTGATTATGAACCTCCCCCCCCCCCACGAAACCCCCGACCTTCCAGTTTTGACATTTTTTTTCGAAGAAAACTATTTGTGTACTGCCCCCACTCCCTCCTTTCTAAAATTCTTGAATCCGCCACTGGTAACTTTACGTTGTAAAATTCTATTCTTAATTCATCTCAAATTTTGAATAAATACTAACAGCGCTAACATGTGATTTGAAGGATTCTTGGATCTATATGATTTAAGATACGGATTCAGTTTTCCATCATCGCTAAAAATAAACCGTACTGTATCGTTGATATTTTGCAGATACAGTACAGTTTCTGCTCATTTGCATAAGAAACGCCCACTAAAAGTGTTCTGTATCGCAGTTATTGTACGGCTGACTTCAAAGGAAAACTCGCCGGGTCATGTCACAATTTGCATAACGGGCGAAGCCCGTTATGCATAAATTATCCCACGTTTCCAACTATCGTTGATGTCTCTGGCATACTCTACTAACTAGACAGTGATTCCTTATATTTCCATTGCATTGTGAAATAAAATTGTAAATTTAGATTTTAAAAATGTAGATTAATAGATTTAAATTACATGAGGCCTCACATGTCAATTTCAATAGTCCCCGCCCACTGACGTCAAACACAAAGACAGCCGCACGAGATTTACATGCATATTAGGCCTCCTTAGAGTCAGACACAAAGACAGCCGCACGAGAATTACATGCATATTAGGCCTTCTTAGCTCCTGACCTTTCGCTTGGCGAAATTTGCGTTCGAGTGGAATGATTTAAGGAATAACTGTCTTATTTTTTGGATTCATGACGATGATCAATCGATTGGCTTGCGTGATAATTTTATGCATAAACGCCTTCGGCGTAAGACAGTTATTCTTTATATTTACATGCTCCTGATTCTGCAAATTCCCGTGCTAATAGCCCCGCTTCTGTCTCAATTTGTCCCGCCCCGCACGTGATTTTTTTTAACCGCGCCTATCGATGAACCAGTAGATTTATGTAGAAATAAAGTATTTTTACAATTTGTAATTTTATCTTGGACAAAGACATTGGAAATGTAAATATTAAGAAATGAACTCTCCTAACTTTCAAAGAGTTATCACAGAGAAAACAAATCGAAATGGAAATATATAGCTCTATACATTATTGGTCAAGCCTTCTGCTTATCATATACATTAATGAATTTAATGTTCTCTAACTTAATTAAATATGATATGGGATTTTCGACTAATTTTGGGAAGAAGAGACACATAAAGAACAAGAGGACCCTGGGCCACATCGCTCACCTGAGTAACTTTGGCCATGCTGTTCTTTACCAGATTTCCCCCTTGTAATACCTACTGTGGCCCCGCCCTACCACCGGGGGTCATGATTTGAACAATTTAGAAATTGCACTACTTGAGGATGCTTCCACATAAGTTTCAGCTTTTCTGGCCCAGTGGTTCTTGAGAAGAAGATTTTTAAAGATTTTTCCTATATATTTCAATGTAAAACTTGGATTCCCTATTGTGGCTCCGCCCTACCCCCGGGGATCATGATTTGAACAATTTAGAATCTACACTACCCGAGGATGCTTCCACTTAAGTTTCAGCTTTTCTGGCCTAGTTGTTCTTGAGAAGAAGATTTTTAAAGATTTTTCCTATATATTTCAATGTAAAACTTGGATTCCCTATTGTGGCTCCGCCCTACCCCCGGAGGTCATGATTTGAACAATTTACAATCTACATACCCTAGGATGCTTTCACGTAAGTTTCAGCTTTTCTGGCCCAGTGGTTCTTGAGAAGAAGATTTTTAAAGGTTTTTCCTATATATTTCAATGTAAAACTTGGATTACCTGTTGTGGCCCCGCCCTACCCCCGGGGGTCATGATTTGACAATTTAGAAATTGCACTACTTGAGGATGCTTCCACATAAGTTTCAGCTTTTCTGGCCCAGTGGTTCTTGAGAAGAAGATTTTTAAAGGTTTTTCCTATATATTTCAAAGTAAAACTTGGATTCCCTATTGTGGCTCCGCTCTACCTCCGGGGATCATGATTTGAACAATTTAGAATCTACACTACTTGAGGATGCTTCCAATAAGTTTCAGTTTTTCTGGCCCAGTTGTTCTTGAGAAGAAGATTTTTAAAGATTTTTCCTATATATTTCAATGTAAAACTTGGATTCCCTATTGTGGCTCCGCCCTACCCCCGGGGATCATGATTTGAACAATTTAGAATCTACACTA